CAGAGCAGGACCAGAAAGGGGCCGTCTAGTTCCTGGTGGAGTAGGAGTCCTATAACACACAGACAAGATGAGCAATGCACCGGGATATGTCATCTCCTACTCTTTGACTCAGGACAGTTACACTTCTTTGCACAATAGCCTGCTTCGTACTATTCAGTTAATTGCTCCTGCACAATATCTTATCAGTACATATGCAATATGTGTTTTTTTTTTTTTTACTGTTTTTTACTTTTGTCTTTGTCTCAGCCGTTTCTACTCCACATACACACAATTTAGCCTGGGACACTTGGAACACATTCAAACCTTCTAATTGGATTCTATTTGAGGAATCCAAATCAAAGCCGGAGAATATGGCTTAAAGCTTCTTTTGTTAAAAGGGATAATTTAGCACAGCCAGAGCTCCCCCTTTTTTTACTACCTGAAAAAAGAAATTATTCCCACCAGCTATGCAGTGAAACTGTATTTGCGTTTGATTTGGTGCATGTGGAACAGACCTATCTGTGTGAAATGGTTGATGAGAAACCATGCTAATCCACACTAAGCCAGCCCAGTGCTCACTTCATTCCCCTGTTCACTTGTCTGACATCTTCTGTTCCTGCCCCATTAGGAGTGACAAGAGGCAGTGCAATAGGAAGATAAAAATCTGTTCCCCCTCGTCTCAACCTCAGAAAAAAAGAAATAAGTGGAAATAGCCAATGTGAACATGTTCTTGCAAGGCAGCAAATTAATCGACCGCCATGAATGATGATGTTTTCTTTTCCCCCTCTCTTTTTCGTTTTGAAAGGCTTTCACTTTAGTCTTGCAGATTGTAAATAGCTCTCTGAATGCTGTAGAGAGTTAGATTAATGCCTTACACACTGGCAGTGAGATGCTGGGTGTGAGGGAGGGATAAAATCTCCCGAATCAAATAAAGTGTTGGGTATGATTGGGAAAATACCAATAATGCCTCTGTTTCATTCATACGGCGCATGATGGCTTCTCTGTTTTCATTTAAATGGAAATCAATCATGCCCTGTGAAAGAAAGCTTTCTATCAAAGAACCCAAGGCACTAGTTCCCTTATTTGTACTAATGGCAAAAGGCAAAGGTTAGAGGGGAAGGGGACATGCTCCTGTTCGACATGAGCATTTCAGTTGTGGCTTTATGAGGCGCATATATGTTAACGACACTAGGAGTGGCTACATGGGGTTAAACACTGGATTTTTCAAAGGAGGATCTCACTTTGCTCTTCCACTAAATCTTGCAGCTAATCTCGCCACTGGGGGCAGGGCTTGGCTCAAATCCAACCAGAGAGCATAAACAGTTGTGCAGTCATGTCTTCATCAGGGCCTATAGTAGCTATAGGTCTGTGCTGAAGGATCGTCTTAAAAATGATGCATCCCAGGATCCCAGTTTATTTAACACAAACAAATTGGCAGAAATGATTATTGTTTGTGCCTTTGTTTTACTGTTTGTATTTGAACACTGTATATACAGTTTCTGTTACTTCTCAAAAAAAAATGTAGCATTGCCCAATAAATCTTCAATATGTGTCAGCATTTCAAAGGGAGGACAATTGGACCAAAATTGCAGTACAAAACATTTCAGTTTTAAATGTCTGTAGTCTACATATTCATATTTACTCATATTCATTATTTCTGCTGGACAAATAAACCACAATGAAATAACATCAGCTGCAGAGTATTCTCTTTGAATGCTTTTTCCAAAATGTAGAGAGAAAAAAAGACTCAGCATTTGGTCCAGCCAAGCTCTTCTCTATTATTCCCTCCTGTAAAGCATCTCTGCTGTGACACTACTTATGTAAATGTAACAAAATGTAGCCGTTTCTTCCTCAACGACATATATATGTGAAAAGGTTACGCTTTTTTTTTTTTTCTTTTATCAACTGGCTGATTCTGTATCTGTCCAGACAAAGTATGGTGGCCCTGAGAGCTCAACGCACTGCAACCTGAGAAAAGTCATGCAAAGAAACAAAACACAATCAAATAAAGAAGTATGTTTGAAAACAAATGCGCAGCATTTAAAAAAATTGAGAAAACAAAACAAAATTCCTCTCAAGGGCACTGTACTATAGGCATTGTCAGACTCTATGCATTTTTTTATATATAATATATTGTATGTATTTGCTGAGCTATGCATTTGAATTGTGGACTCAATGAAAAATATTGTATTTGGCTAAATGGTCTTTTTTGATATATACTTGTTAAATTTAAGGGGTGATGTCTTCTCTCCACTGTTCATTCATAAATTGGGTGCAAAACAAAGTTGCGGTGGTGGGAGTCAGTTATTTGCCAAAAAATCTTTAAATATTTGTATTTTAGGGTCATATTTCAACAAAAACTTTTAAATTTGGACTTAAAGTTCCAGTATGTAACATTTAGGAGGATCTATTGCCAGAAATGGGATACAATATGCATTAGTATGTTTTCATTAGTGTACAATCACCTGGCTTTAGATAGGGCCCTTCTTGTTTTTGTGCATTTCTCGGCCGCTGTAGTTTCTCCTTTGGAAGGGGAGGGTGAAGCAAATGAGTTGCACTACGTAACTACACTGCTAGATGCCACTAAATCCTACACACTGGTCCTTTAATGGTAAATGCATATGTTCATACGCACCTGTGTATACACATTGTGTATGTATTATTTGTGCCAAGGACAGTCACAGTTCATATCATTATTTAGTATGTAATACATTATCTCATATCTCTCTCTCTCTATAAACAATTGCAGTAGGTGATTGTATATCATGAATTAATTCGATCTGCACAGCTGCTGTCACTTTTATTTTGTTTTGATAGCAATTAGAACAGTGAGTTCTACTGTATATAATGTAGGTATGCTCTGGATTGTGTTGATTTTAACAGCTGTTATAAAATGTGCTTGGTTTCACCAGTTTGTTGTCTGTATCATTTTGATGCCACATAGATGCAAAGATAATGTGGCAATGGATCTTTTTTAATCTAGGGCTTTACTCATTTATAAGCATAGAGGCACTAAGAGGCTTAGGCATCCCTTACTAAACATTGCGCTGTTGTTGAGACTGAAAGAGTAAAGAGCGCACAGTATCTATCAGGAAGAGGAAGTGACCCAGCTTAATTTTAGATCTTGAACACAAGAGATGAGGTTGACAAATATGAGATGGGGGTTATTCTTTAACCTTTAATAATAATCCTGGTGTTTTCAGTCATAAGATACAGAGATCATTAGAAACAAGCCTGCTTCATGGCTGAAGTTATGATTAAAATATGAATCATCTCTTCATTATTTGCCAAGATAATCACTTTACTTTTTTAGTGCCGTTTTGCCACATATAGAAATAACATTTGACATAGATTAAGCAGGTAATCGTTCCACTTTTTTCACTTGACACAAGTTTTGACACTGTTACTAAGCAGCATATAGTCCATCAGTCCACATGCACACAAACACACATGCTGGCAGGTGTTGGTTGAGTGTTTTCTTCTTGATTGACTCCTGGTTGGTTTGTTGCAGCTCTGCGCTTTTATCAGTATACACATGCTCTCTCTCCTTATCCCTGGACTACTCGATACGTCCTGGTAAATAAACACACAGAAATTTAAAGTGTCAAACACTTTTTAGGAAGTCAATTATATTTGCCAAACAGAAATATATCACATAAGGAAAATTTTAAAAAAGTGGTTTGCAGTTGGTCTGTTGGGGTTTTTCCCCAACAAATAGCTTAATCATAATCTTTTTGATCTATTAATCATCACAGAGGTTTTAGTCAGCATTCTATTGAGCTATTATATGTCTGAAGTGACTGATTGTTTGCCATATATCATCCAGTAGCCCGTGACATAAATTATTTATCTCATTCAACTGCAGTTTGTTAACAGCATGATGTAAGCACGGCTACCCTTGCTCATGGACTATAATTTAGTCAAACATCACTTTTTATCAGCTTTCATTGTCTTAAATTAATCAGCATTTGTGCTAATCGTGCACTTCTCAAATACTGCACAAATACAAAATATGAGTATTCACTAGATTTAATTAAATAAAAGGCTGTAAATACTTACTTAGATGACCTCTTGTGACACTTGGGCAGCCGACAGACCCTGCCACCTACAGAGATAAGCAAAAGAGCAAATAGAGATAAGCAAAAGAGGGAGGAGGAGTGGGGTTGTGTAATTACGGTTTATAAGAGATTACACAAGACAAAAGTGGCATTCAGAGTCATACTTACAGCTAATGACCATGATGCCCATGATGAAAAGTACTGCTGCAATGAACAGACCAGCATGGCGCAGGGACTTATAATCTGGACATATAAAACACAAATCAAAAGCTCAACCATAGATTCAACAGGTAATAACAGAAAAGAAACACTGTCAAATGTAGATTTTTACCATAGGTGAAATCGTTGTCCCACTCAGGATCTATAAGAAGAAAAAGTAGAAAAGTATTGAATTAAGTTTGACTGTTGAACACAGGAAGCGTCTACAGGAAGAAAAAATCTGGAAGATCACTGGGGAACAACAGTCAAAGATGGCATGACAGATCTACTGGCCCCGCTGACATGCTGTTGATGGTGTATCAAAACCCTATCTATGGCAAGCCAGCACAGCATGAGGACACAAATATCTTATCTCTTCTTGCATAAGGTACAATCAAGCATTAATCTGTTGGCAAGAGAGGAAGTGAGGTGCTCTATTCTACCTCTCCGCTAAGGGTTTTGTTTGGAAGCCGGGGAATTCTGATACTGTCAGTCTGTCATGAGATAACAATAAAACAGCGATGCCTGTGGCATTTAAGGTAACTATGGAGTAGTAAAATCTTTTGTTACCCCAGGCAACAGCTTCACGGCTCAAGTTTTTCCTGGGTGTCTTTGGTATAGCTGTGGAGGACCTCACTTTGGATGCTTGAAAAATAGATAGTAAAAACATTAGTTTACATGATTTGTTTTGTTTTCTGGATCCCTCTGTATTTCAGATCTATAAAGTCTAATATGTATAAGACAAAGGTGTATAATGCAAAAGCACAATTTCATATATTGGACATATTGACTCCTTATCTTTACCTGTCCATACAGAATTACTTCTCATAAAATCCCAGGTGCATTCCTATGTTGAACTCCATTTTTAATTAAATTCCTGAATATTTCAGTGGAATGACTCTCAGAGGAAATTTGGGCCGACACTTTTTAAAGCTCTCTCTGTCGCTCTCACTCTATTTCTCTCTCTTTCCCCCGGTGCTGTAAAATGCAGTAGAAGTACTCCTCTGTATATCTCTACAAGGACAGGGAGTTTAACATTTTCTAATTACCTCATAATTAGTTTAAAAGCCTCCTGCATTCTTGATGAGAACATCTACTGTACAGTAAGCCTTTGCTAAATGTGAAGGGATGTTATAGCCTATAGTGGAGTGTTGATGGTTTATCTACTATGTAAACTCAGTGGCTCCACCAACTGGGTGTTCAAATATGTGAGGGAGAGGGTGAGGATTGTTACCTGAAGTGGATATGAGATTTGTTTGTGGTTTTGTTGTTTCCTCATTGATAGCTACAGGGACAGAAACACCCAAATTAACAGGTTAAAGTGCTAAATTATGGGTGTTACTTACAGCACTAATGCAACACTACCTGTTGTCTTAATTTCTGATGTGGAGTTGTTGACAGTGAGTGACTTGACGGTGTTAATGTGCTGGTTTGTGGTTTCAGCGGCGGACGTTTCCGGGGAGGAGTCAGCACCTCTGGTGACTCTACCTTCCACTCTTCTTCCTGTTAAACAAAGAAAGTGAACTGAATTAGATAGATAGATAGATAGATAGTAAGATAGATAGATAGATAGATAGATAGATAGATAGATAGATAGATAGATAATAGATAATAGATAGACAGGTTAGTAGATAGATAGATAGCATAGATGAGATAGATAGAAAGATCTATTTATGATCATGCATAGTCACTGTAAAAACTTAAATAGCCTGGAAGACTGAAAAAGCTGCAAAAGTAGTACCATACCAGCAGGAGTGGGCATTGAGTTTGCCTGTATTGGCTGCCTCACAGACTCCAATTTGATCTGTGGGTGTGGGAGTCTCAGCCTTGACACTGCGGGGGGGGGGGGGGACACACTTTAATCACCAAAAACACAAGTCAGACGAAGCCTCATGGCGAGGCCTCAATACAGTACAGTTTACAGGAAGAACAAAGAACAGTGTTGTTGTATCCCAGTCACTCTCTCAAACAATGCTGTGATGTATTCCTGGCAGAGGCCGAACTTTGAGAATGCGTCTGGCCATGCAGGGGAGAGAGGCCTGCATTTGCATTGAGAGTATGTCACAGTAGCAGTGCTGTGAGTAGGGCAGTGCGGCACAGTTACAAAGAAGTAGCTCTTATAAAACCTCTGGCTACAACAGAGCTGGATTGTTGTGTGTGACTGCAGGACAGTGAAGCCGTTGTCTGTTTACTCACTCAGCACCTTCCAATTAGTGCTGAAGCTCTACAAAACCGCCACTTTCTTGGGCTAATGCTGTAATTCCCACTACTTTAATGAACCTGTATAAAGGGAAGGGGAAGTTTTGATGTGTTAGATATTGTGTGTGGGGAAAAAAAACCTTGATGTTGTTTGTAATAAACCATTTGTATTGTGTTAATAGATGCAGTTCAGTGTGAGCTTATCCCTTATGGACTAAGATAAAGTTGTACCTTCAGTCTGAAATATGTGTCTGCTAAATGAGTGATGTTGACTAAAGGACCCACATCATTATTAGAACTTATTACATTATTGTTTTTATGAACATTAAATACTATTATATATATTTGTGATCTGCCTTTATATACATTTCCAGGCATTTAAAGGGGAACTCCATCTCTTAACCACAGTAGGATGTTTACTCATAACGAGGCGTACTAGTCATCATCAGCCTGAGAAAACACTGTTATAATGTTTTCTGTGGCTCTGTAGGAGGTTTATCAGTTTTAACCCTGATGATTTAATGCATATGAGCATTTAGCCAACTAATTTCTAAGCTGCAGCCTAAAGCGACAAAATACTTTTGAAAGAAGAAATATCACATTCTGCCTCTTACAAATGATATGTTGAACTCATGAGCAGTAAAATATTGCTCAGTTCAATACACTTAAGGGTTTTGCTGCCAGTATTGCTTGGCATGGTAGTAATGTTAGCAAACTATTGCTAAATACTGTTGTGTAACTGACATTAGCGAGTCAGTTTGCTGTCTTTATGACTCATCGCTGCCTGTATTACTATAAAGCTACATTACTGCATTTACATTTCAGCATATGACTATCCTGTTATTGTGATTTGGGACCAAATGGGCTGCTGTTCAGTATAGACTCGGTTTATACTCAAATGTGAGTTTGTTTGTACTCACCTTTTAACATGACGAACAGGAAAAAGGTCAAGGGAAAAAAATAAGTCTGAAAGAAAGAAACAGATGAGAGGAGGTAAAACAATGATGCAGAAAGTGTAAACAAGGTTGATATTGGAGTTCAGTGGCTGATTACAGAACCCCAGTATTCATTCACTGTACTTTATCAGTTTAAGTTGAAGGCACAGCAATGCATAGGGAACTTAGCTAGGCTAGATGTGTGAACCTGTGGTTATGCAAACTTAAAATAAAGGCACAGATTTCAGATTAAAATTATTCATAGTCATAGCTAAACAATTAACTAAATTACTACATTTAACTTAATATCAAAAAATCCTTTGCAGAGACTGCCATCATCAAACACCAATACAATAGGGTGTATCTCAACAAGAGAATGTAATTAACAAATTACATTTCAGTTTGTGCAATTTTACTACAACTTGTGGTTATAAGATTGAAATGACCTAACCACTGTATTTAAGATCTGGAAAGTAATCCAGAGCCGCTCAGATATCACAGGTGACTCCATACATGAAGACAGCTCGTGATAACGCAGACACTTTGATACATCTGTTGCAGAGGACTGGAGCAGATACACAACATCCAAACAAAATGTCTGCTCATTAGCACACAGAGAGATCACTGTTAATTCATACAGTGTCTGATCATGGTTTTGTTGTTTAACCAGGGCAGAGTACAAGGTGAACAACATACACTGAATGGCAAGTCAACGCTTATAGGCTCTGCTTAGAGTATTGAAGTAAGAGAGCATTTGTTCTGGAACATTTTGTACAGTACAAACAGACAGGAAGTAGACACACTTATGTTTCGCACCACATGGTCATTTCTCCTTCCTGCTAAAGCACACGCATTTCTCATGCAGCATGACAGAAAACAGATCCTTACTTTCAATGTCAAACTTTGTAAGACATCATAACCACAATTCTTTTTTTCCATTTGTCAAAAATGAGTGATTGAGGTTGCGCATTGTGTATGCAAACCTCCCACACGTGTCTGTGTTCAACTTTATGGCACTATTGATCAAACTTTCCCATATTTGCACACAGTGTGCTGCTGTCACCAATTAAAAAAATGGCATTGGAGGATGTGTCAAAACAACTCTTTTTTAACATAATGGAAATCCTGTGGTGGCGAGCAACGTTTTCTGAATCAGTGGGAAAAAAACAGCTCTTTCCTCCCCCTCACAACAGCTTGCCCCTAGCTTGAAACAAAACACTATAGAAAAACAAAAGTAAGCAAATACATGCCCGATATTGTATGATTGTATAGAAATACAAAGAACAACAGCTGCCAAGCAGGTACAGCAGAGGTGGGTAGAGTAACAAATGGAAGACTAGGCCAGTGGCTCGGTTTGAATGCACCCCCAGCAGAAAATTAATCTTGATCTTTGACCTATCCTGGTGGCAGCTCGTCCTCCAGGCTTGGAACAGTGTGACAGGTGAGCGTCCGTGGCCGTCATGAGCTGTGACAGCTCAGATTAGCAGGTCATGCCAATCTTCATTTCTCTCCAGAGCATATGTCAAGATGAGGCCTGTTTCCCTTGGGCTGTACAGGCGTCTTTCCCTTCCCCTAGCCTGACCTGCCTGCCCGTTTGTCACATCTAGCACTCTCACTCACTCTCCCGTCTGTCTGTTCATCCGTTTGTCTGTCATCCTCCATCAATCTCCCTTCAGTTTGCTTTCACCAGAACAGCCCTGTGATATTTAGTCATCCATCCAGGCTATTATGCTTACCTTAGTATCCATCCTGCGAGGTGCCCGAGTCCACAGATGTATCCGCAGCCTCGTCATCGAAGATGCTTCCGCCTGTATGTCACTTCTGAAAGGCTGATGGGGTAACTGGTAACAGTCAACCACACCCATGTGCTCACCCATCACTACTTCCTCATCCAATTGTCTGAACTCTGTTTCAGTCTCTCGCTCACCCACGCTTTCTCCTGACATGGCCTCCTCCTTCTTGTTCTTTGGGTTTTTTCACTCTCACTCACTCCAGTACGATCTCTGTCTGCAGTTCAACCGACTCTCAGCATGGTGGCTTGACTTCCTACTTACTTTAGTCTTTTATTGTGTTTGCCTGTCTGTCATCCTGTCTTTCTCCATGTTTATACAATATTTTCTGTCCACATGTCCATCTATCATCTGTGTCCATGTAGCTGCCTCACAGACAAGAAATGAATGGCCCTGTTGTAATGAGAAATTGTTGATATATCTGCAGTCACTCAAAAATGCAGTACATATAGGAGGAAATTGTGAGAGTTTTATTAAATATCCTCTTTAACCCTCTGAAATATGTGGCTGTAAAGAAATATATGCCTTTAGATACCAACCTTTTAAACAAGCATTGAAGAAGCAGTTCTGTTTCTTGAATACATTTTAAAATGTTTCTGTTTTGCTACCAAGCAAACACACATCAACTGCATGACATATGACCCACTGCTCCATGTTTATCACACTGAAATCCAGTTAAGCAGTGACAAACCCAACCTGTTAAATCCTCAGGGTTTTTTCCCAGATATTTCAACTATTGCTTCAAGGCTACAGGACTGGTGTGTTATTGTGACCTAACAGCATTACCCAACTGACGAGCACAAACCTAGACTGTTACAACAGACAAAGCCTGCAATTCATACACACTAGCAGAGGATGGTCTTTGTCCAGAGTGCTTTTGGATCAGCTTGCCCTTTGTCACATTTTTATGGTTTCTCTACAGAAATTCTTGCAGTTTTTAATAAGCATTTAAACACAGTTTGTATCGTGACCTTCCTTAGCAAAATGTTACGTTTTTCTCAGGTTCAGACACAGAATATAAAAAAATTCAGTCAAAAATGTTATTCCTCCAGCCAATCATATTATGAGATGTACCCTGACAAGTTATAAGACACATCATGAGGATCATCAGTCTGTTATAATATAACGCAATATAACATTTACTTTCTTAATAAATGGTTCCTTTTTTCCATTTTTTGTTCACTCTTGTTGGGCAATATTTATTTTGTGTAAGGCTGTGGGTTTACAGACATGTGTTGATAATACATTTCAGACATAGGTACATACAGTATAATGAGGTCTTTCAAAAGCAGTGACCTGTCTACTTCAATAGCAAAAACAGTACATGAAGTGATTTTTTATTTTATTTGTCACATGTATTTGTACAGTATGTCATGAGACTGAGTTAATAATAACCGTTTGTTATGTTCTTTTTTCTCTCTTTTGTCCCTTTGCTCGTCTTTTCATCCTAGTGTGTGAGTGGGAGTAGGTATGCATTTAAATAAGCGAGATGCAGAGAGAGAGATGTGTGTATTCAAATGTGCTTACATATGAAAAACAAAAAATATACTCAGGTTTAAATGAGACTTGAAAAAAATATATTTTCTTTTGTTAAGCTTTGGGGAAAATGCTTGCTTAATGCTTGCCTGGATTTTGTTTAATAAAGCCTACACTACCTTAAATAGAGACAAATGTGGACTGTTGTGTGAAGCAACTTTTTGAGTTGCCTCTCTGCGACACTGTATAAGCACATTGTGGTATAGTTTCATGACTCTTGCCTTTCAATGTGGTCTGGTACAATACATACACTATGGCCAGACATCAAATTCATCTATAATTAAAAAGGATCACATGCTCTGTTAGCTTTCAATATGCTTTCAGATCTGCCCTCATCAAAATTAAAAATGAATTGTGTTTTTACTTCCGAGTTATCTTTCATGGACTGCTGTTGTATTTATTAAGATGTATTCGTTCATCCACATTGGAGGGCAAATTACATCCTCATTACTGACAACAGGAGAGCACAGCCACAAAGTGAGTCATAATAACTGCCAGTAAAATCATGTTCTAATTTGTAAAACCTGTGGTTACTTTTGATTTGATTTCTATTTAGTTCAAATTGAAAAATCTGAATAATGAGAGCAATGACAGGGCTTGCAGAAATTTGAGTTAAATTTGAGTTAGCTCCCCACTGGTAGCACAACCTGTTAAAGGGATAAAAAAGCATTATTCAATCTCATATTTGTTTTGTTAAAAAGAAAACCAGGAGAGGGGTAACAAAGGATGTGAAAACTCTCTCCAGGAGCTGAGGTAATTAAAGTCTCTTATTTGTTTCTCTTTTGACTTAATTGTGCACTCATGCAGCCTGTATGTTCGAGCTCCCTTGAGATTCTTCTGAACAAAACATATCAAAATGTTCATGAGGCAAGTGAGGAAAAATAGAAGTTGACGTACAGCATTGAGCTGTCAAGGCTTCAGTTTAGCAGATTATCGTTCCTGCCTGAGCCGAAATGATGCATCATGAAGAGGCTTTGGTATGAACACAGCAGTCAGCTTGACAGGAACTTAAACAATTGTTCAGTAATGACACAAACATACCTTGACAGCTCATGATGGAGAATAGTGAGCCTAATTGAGGGAACGCAGTTCAGTGAAACATTGAGATTTATTTCCAGGCAGTCAGGCCCCCATTGAAGAAACAGCATTTTGGTGGCTTGGACGAATGTGTGGACTATAACATCCTCACCAGGGTTTAAATATCACATACTGTAAATAAATATTGCCAGGGCAAATAATGCTTAGAAGATTTCTTGAGTATTCTACAATAATAATACAAAAAGAGTGATGAAGATGTCTAACTTGGTCTAGCTAAAGAACTCATGAAGCAAACCATCAAAGTAGAAAAAGTGTTTTTTCTATTGAGGAAAAGTAAATAAAGATTATACCCTTTATTCTTTGTACGTGTGTCTCATTGGACTATATGTGTTGTCTGTGCTGAGTTATCTGTGTTACGTGTGTACTCATGAGACTGATGTGACAAATCGTGCTTGGGGGGAAAAGCAGAAACTGGAAGCAGGAACAGGGTGCGTGCATAACGGCTCTGTGTGCAGATATAATAAAAGCCCAGTCACTCTTTGTGCATACTACAAGGCGGCAGGAATAAAAAGGAGACGTGGAAACTTTGAGGAAGTGTCCGATCTCTGCACAATATATTAAAGAGGAAGTTACACAAATACAAAGAGCACACAAATCCCTAGTATAATACAGGGAGACAGCACCTATTTTTGCAGGTGTTCTGCATTTTCTCAGTAAACTGGCAGGTCAATGACAGCATGAGTCTGCAGCTTGAAATGTACATCATCAACAGATATTGGTCAGATAGTGAAGGCCTTGGCTCTTGAATGCCCTGCCCGAAGAAAGTAGGATGGCTGAGTCAGTGACATCTTATTAAATCTCTTCTTAAAATACACTCTTAACAACTGACTTTATTTGTTTTTCAGCCATGGTAGCAGCATGGCTCTATGGATTGCAATTGCACCACTTGGAGGAGAAAGAAAGTCACGTTTTTAATTTTTGTGGAGCAATTGTTGTTACTTCTGTAAAGAGGTATGTGTGTGTGTGTGTGTGTGTGTGTGTGTGGAAGTGTATACTTACTGAGGGTTTACCAGCAGCTGTTCTCATGATACCTCTTTTTGTTTTTTGACTTCCTATTATGAGGTCTAACAGCTCACTGTCCCTCCACTGACTACCTCCTTTGTTTGTGACTCCTGTCAGTGCAGAATTGTGATGAATGTCAATCTAGAGTGAGAGTAAGAGTGTGATTTTAATCACATATGAAAGTGAAAAACAGATGAGTCACATATGAGCAAAGAAAAATGGACCCACGATGGCCTGCAGTGTGAACGTAACCTTAGTCTTGCTTTATTTTACTTTAAAATGTCTTTTTATTTATCTAATCCTATATTGATAGAATTGGTTGTATCTGATCTGGTATAAAATCTAATCCATTAGGATTCTGTTAGATTTCATAATTTGTATAATTTTAATTTGCTGTCTTGTGTAAAGAAGCTTTGGTTTTTCAAAGTGCTCTATAAATAAAGACTGTAATTATTGTATAGGCTGTGGATTAAAGCTATACAGTAAACTGCTTTTCCTTGAACTACAATTTGTACGGAAAACCAAAGGAAGAGGAGAGTTTTTTGTAGCAGTAGCCACAGTAGCAGCTTAACCTAACCCTCTCTTCCTGTCCCTATCTCTCTTCAACTGTCCACCCTCAGTGAGACAAATTCCCTGCATGGGTTTTCTCTCTCCCTGATGCTGTGAGCTGAACTCCAATCCGAGAGAAAACAGGATTAAAGTCTGGCCCTAGATATGGCTTTACCTCCCGAAGACATAACCGTGCTAAATACCACTCAGTACTATCCCATTGTACGGATTCCCACGGTCTAACTGTGAGGTCTTGAGCTCTTTGTATGAGACAGGAGAGGGACAGGCGACTGTCGTCAGGTTCTCATGTGGATACATGTTAGAATTTGTTGGATGGATCAAAAAGGATGTTTTCTGCTTGGATGGTACCATGAGTCTGTAGTGCTTCTGCCCTAGTGCCAACCACAGCGTTGTCAGTCCATTTTTGTGTCTAAGTGACTGATTCATGTGTACCTGCAGGCCAAAGCAAGGGAGGGGGGGGTTTGGTGGTGGTGTTTGGGTAGTGACTGTGACTTAGCCCCAAGAAAGAAAGAGGGTAAAGGTGAAAGAACAGTGAGGTCAAGGGAGGAGGGAGAAGAAAATAAACTTGCTATTATACAACAGAACAATTTTTTCTTTCTTGATTACATGAGGTTACAGAGGCCATTCTGCCTTGCTTCTTTTCAGCTTCCTTAGTTGCCATACAGTACCTTTCTGTAAGTCAACCCAGTCCTTTGAGCAAAACATTCAATTTTAACAATATATACACTAAGATTTCCTAACACTTGACAGTGAAAATCTGTATTAAGTATTCTTCCTTCTCTTGTGATAGGTTGATTCAAGGTGATTTGTGACATACTATTCAAAGGGAATAAAATACCACAGTATTCAGTGACTACTGTTGAGTCACAAACCCTGTCAGCGTATTTGTTTGCGCTGACCTTCTCATTCTAGACTAATTCACCTCGTAGTTCAAAGGGGAGATCAGAATCTCTCTGCGGTTGTCGAACACCCATGAACTGCCTCATTTTCTCCGTACCCTGCTGAGAGACAGATTGAATCTCGGTTTCAGTTAAAAACACAACAAAGCCACAGAATACCATCCACCTTTTATAAACAATTTATTTTGCAACTGAACTGTGATATTAATAAATGTGCATAATGCATCAACTAGGAGCTCTCATCATAGGTTGGGGTTTTGTTTACAGACCTGAGGGTGGTTTGGTGATCTCCACTCAGTCCTTTGATGAGGCAATCTGTGGTCAGGCAAGGACAGAGGAGACGGAAGAGAGGAAGCCAGGATGTCCTGGTACAGACCCCTGTCTCTTACTTCTTCATACAGATGGCTGTGAGAGTCCACGGGGAGGTGGGTGACATCTTGAAGCACACATGGAAACACATATACAAAACATAAATATGGACAAATATATTTACAATCCTTCAATCTGAATGCACTTGAATAATTGCTAATGGTGAGCATTAAGATAAATCAGAAAACACTCCAGCTGCGCCAAGTTTTAAGTTAAAGGCTTAAGTTCAAACAAGATCAGTTCCTGACTGGCTCAGACTGTATCATATTTTGGACTTTGTTTACTGTAGTATATTTGTGTCTCACCAAGTCTACGCATTTCCTCCGGGTGTGGACTGAGAGGCGGCATGTAGTCACCGGTGGGGTAATAATAATGGGAACTTTCCTGGAATTAATTAAACAGAAGAGAGAGAGCATCAGTTTGAACTTAAGTAACATCAAGTAAATGTCAATTCCACATGTGTGGGGGGAGTGGGTTGGTTCACTCAAATTATAGCAGTATAGTATAGTGTAATAACCTCTAGAAGAATTCAACCATGCAGATAGATTTGGGTTTATTTGCTTGCTTTATGTATCCATCTCCAGGATCTCTGGGTTGAATTTCTACAACATGGGTGAACAAATTTAATTAGAAAACCAAAGAGAGACAGAAGATATAGTCCCTGCGACAATGTTTGACAGTAAAATCTGTGGAATATCCAAAGTAATGGGGATATTGTTTATAGTATGACATGTTGCTGTTTTCAATACTGTAAGGACCACCTCCACTGAACTGGGATGTAGGCAGATATCTCAGGCACAGAAGACCTGGGTAAAAAAAAACTAAAAAAACTATCTGCACTCAGGGCTAGATAGCACTACAAGTAAGTGAGAAAACAGACTTTTTTTTATTTTCGTAATTTGGCTGAACCAACCCTTACAGGTATGTACTGTTTTAAATTAGGGGAGAGATAAAGCCTGCCTCTGTGGGGATTTGAAGTTTCATTATACCCCATCCTGACAGCACACTGCTATCTGTTTTCTTCTATCCTCACTCGTCAAGGTTCAAATCCTTGTTGGCCCCTTTAAAGTACAAAATGATAATTTCTCCGAGATCGATGTGTATTTTGAATGCTAATTGTGAGGTATTGATCTATGTTCCATCTCTATGCACAGCTAAAGGTTTCATTAGTTTATCTATCCATTTTCCTTGTTATGGCTGAATTCTCCACTTCCTCTCCTTCACCCCCTGCCTAACCTCTTCCTCCCCTCATCTGTTTACTCAGCCTTCTCTGTGTCTCTGCATATTTTCTCAATTGCCCTTTTCTCTCTCTCTCTCTCTCTCTCTCTCCAATCCCGCTCTTCCCTTTCTTCCTCCTCCTCTACCGTTCTTACCGCCGCATAGCTCTCATAGACATTGCTGTCTGTTTCGGATCCAGAGTCGATGAGGAGGGTGCGCTGGGCTGCGACGTTGATCTTTTCTCTGCTTTCATACTTATTGGAGTTGCTTACAGTTGACTGACTGGACCTACAGGGAGAAATCAGCTTCTGTCATCTACTTGCACTTATTGATTAATTTCCCAGCAACTCTTAATCTCCAATATGAACTACGAGAGATGCAAAAAACTCAGCACACATAGCAACTTTTTTTCATGCATTCCTTAAGTTCTTAATAAGAAAGTATCATGTGGTACCCGTTTATTGCAGGACTGTGGTGCAAGTTTGATGACACCAATATTAATGGATATTGACAGAGGTTTTTTTTTGCCCGCCTGGCTGTTTTAGTGGCTGGGTCAGCCAATGGATCAGGTCTCAGTCTTCTCAGAGTGGATTGGATGTGTGTCTCTTTATTACTTCTACTGCAGGGCCTTAACTTACCCCTCCTCTTCTTTCTTCGTTCCATCCAACACACTGCCTCCTCTACCCCCTGCAGGGGGAACAGGAACAAGAGGAAAGCAGCTTAGTGTTAGGAAATTAGAACTGGAAGAGAGGAGCATCATCTCATAAGAACTGAAATTGATCAGAGCAGTAAAAGGGCTAGAGACAGTGAGAGTGAACGAAAGACAAGCAAACTGTGAAAATCTATGTGAAAACCAGAGGGCAGAGGAAGGTGAGGAATAAAAAGTAAAAGATAGAGAGGGGAGACAGTAAGACTGGAGAACAAATAGAAAGAGACAGAAGGAGAGAAAGAAGGACATAAAGACAGCAAATGAGATAAAAGATATGGATGCAACAGAGAAGTGACAGCTTTGAAGGATGAATGTGGCAAGAGGTAGTGGCTAAGAGAATCAGCAGAAGAAGAGGCAGGATAGACGGAAAGAAAGAGGGGACATGGAAAGATGAGAAGAGAGTGAGAGGCTGAGCTGACAATTGCGTCATGGTTCGGAGTTATCTCCTTAGAGTTATGTTGAGGAATCAGGACATTGTAATGACAGGAATGGGGAAAACACCTTCACATCCAAGGATGTAAAGGTTGTTATGGTTACCTGTCTGACCTCGCTTCTTTTTCCACCTCAATCCAAAGAAGCAGCCCAGCGAATTCAATACCAGCACGACTCCGAGCACCACTGTGAACACTACTGTGAAATAGGCTGGCAGTCCACTTGCACCTAGTTCACAAAACATTAAAAACATTAGCTCAATGCATAACAATGAAAGTTAAAGAGGAAGTAATATGGAAATCCGGGAAGATAAAAACTGACTGAGACAGACCCAACCACTCTCTCAATTGTCTTTATTGATTAAAGACTAGCAGAGGGGAAAAAGTATGGGTGGGTGCCATGACAACCGCTACTCTCGTAGAGCAAACATTAACAGCCTTGGAGGTGCATACATTAACATGATTTAGCCAAAATGAAGCTAGCTGCTGTGCAAACAGCAATTTCCAACTGCCCTTAAGAGCTTTTTCAGGGAGCTGTGATAAAAGACTTACTCTGTGAGACTGAGTCATCATCTGCTGGGACTTCTTCTAGTTCTGGCCTCTCTGTAGAGAAAGACACTTGTAATCATTATGTTAAAGGTACCATAGTTCATTGTACAGTAGAGTCCTTTCAGTGTCAAGCTGGGGTTACTCCAAACTGACCCTTGGTGGTGATGGTCAGTACTGCATTGTTGTCAGCGTAGCCACTCTCTCCCATCGCATTGAGGGCATTGACAGAGAAGTTGTAGGTGGTGACAGGCTGCAGGGCAGTGACAGTAAAGGTTGCTGCGCCGGGAGGAAAGACGTCCATGTACAGGAAACTGGCTACCTGATCCCAGCGGTATCTGACATCCAAAAGTCACTGTCAGATACAAATCATTGATTAGGGCTGTCATTCATAAACCAACATCCTTTATTGACATCTCACCTTATACGAAATCTTTGCTGCAAACCACCATCGAAGCCGGGGATCCACTCCAGAGTGACCGAGTCGTGGGTGGCATCGACTTGGCGAAACAATGAAGGAGGATCTGGGCTGTCTGAGGACGAAAGAAAAGAAAAAATGTGTAAAAAGCAAATGTGCTCTTGATTTTCGATTTTGCAAGAATACTGACAAGGAGCAGAACATCTTCATTCGACAGGTGGCTGTTTGAAAAGGCTTTAGGTGGTAAGAAATCGAGTGATTATATCTACAGAAATAACACACGAGGCCCTGCTGGCCTATAGGATCGTGAATCCCCTCCGGCCTCTGCTTTGGAGTGGTTATAAATAGACAAAATGATATTGCTAAAAGTGAGTGCAGAGCTGACATTTTACTTCATAGAAACAGAAGAAAAGAAAGAACAATTAATTGAGATATTGTCACTTTTTCTATTGGTCATGCAATTGTGTTTGAAAATGTAATTATTCTCATTAGATATGTGTGGCAGAATGACTAGTAATAGCTGTTTAGAGCAAATGGTTTGTGGATGCAATTGTTATATGATTTCAGACTGTGACATGTGACTCTCGCAGATTTTTACATACTACAGCATTTTAAATGTGGAAGATTTAAAAAGAATTGAAAAAGAAATTTGATAATAACAGCTGATGATAAATAATAAATAAGAGTAAATAAAATTAAATCATGGAGGAGAAATGATGACCGTGGTCAAAACTTGTCAGTGAGCCTCCGAAGCCTCTTTTATTTTTGTATGTCCTCCTAATCACAGTTTATTCCACCGGCTCTAAAAAAACATCTTTTTGACAGCAGCAGCTTTGCATTTTTTAACAGTGCATCACTCCTTATCTGGTTTTTCTTAAGGTTGTGCTTTGTTGTATGAATGCTCAGGAAAACATGGGTAGAGCTATAGCTGATCCCTCTCAGAACAAACTGAATGATTTGTCCAATTTAAGTCATGCAATGAAGGATAAAGCCTCTTGATTATTATCAATATTGTGGACAGAGATCAAAGGAGGCTAACCAGGCCTACAGTCTGACATGAGGCACCGCTTCAGTCAGGGTAGTGAAGGGAAAGTGGATTATTTTGCATTTGGAGCATGGAAAAAAGAAGGGTGGTTATGGAGGCAGAGGGAGAGATAGGCAAGGAGAGAATAAAGAGAGATAGTTGAGCAGCAACATAAGAAGGGGATGCTCTACTCGTCTCTAGCTCCAGGCTGCAGCCCAGTTTGCAGAGTAAATAATTCCCACTATCAGCTCCACTCATAAGATTCCAGGGCAAAGAGGTCAGCCTTATTTGGATCTCGTCTCCTTCAAATCCAAAAAGGACCATGCTAACGAAAAAAAAAACTCTCTTCCTCTTGGGCTCTAAAATGATAAGGAAGCATATAAAATTTATTATCACTGTGTCAGATTAATTATGAATATTCACAGCACTAAAAACACGACTAGGGAAAAACAGGGCCGATATTGGATTGTATTTTATGGTTTTTATAGTAAACATTAAATGTGTCCAATGATGGCTGTGGGCCTTTGCTGAGAGCAAGGCTGTGTTGATAATGGCGGTGGTGCAAGGATACAGTGGTAGCTTGAAGGCAGAAAAGCCTAAGCACGCCAGGAGAGCAAAGCATATCATTGCAGCATTATCTGAGGGAGAAGTGGAGTAGTGCTATGGGCTAAATGATAAGGTAGAGATAGAGCAATGGAATAAGTTCCTTAAAGGGCTGACACTCAGGAGCAACAACTCTCTCCAGTTTACAGAATTCTGCATGTTCAATGGCACTCCCACACTATTGTAATGTTGCTGGAAAAGGCTGATAAACCTTGGACAAAGCAGCACAGACACAATTATTTTGAGATGCTGCCAAATTAGAACCAAAGGAAAAATGTATGCCCCACTGCCAAGTATGTGATATGCATAATCCTTACATGTTGTGTGGCCTAACTACTGACTTTGATCATTTGCCTTTTATTTAAAGCTGCATTAGGAGTTTTTTGTACCACTAGGGGGCATTGATGAGAAAGGTAAGACTATAACAATAAAGTCTACGTGGAGGCCAGATAACTAAAACCATGAGAAATAAACGTCTAAGCTTTGTGAAGCTGCAGAGTTAGATTGTATTCTCAATGGCTTGCTATTACTAGTGACCCTTCCACACAACAGAGTAATTTGATTCAATTTGAAAAAAAAAAAATGTTTGCACATTGTTGCTGCCCAAGAAAAACTATCTAGAAAGTTTGGTGATTTTGAAAACTAAACTGAAGTATCATGTATTTCTTTTTTTTTTCGAAATGAGAAAATTCTCTTACATCTGAAGCCAACCTTTGAAAGACCCATTGGAGGATCTGAAAAATGCATTGCTACATTGCTGAGACAAGGTTGTCTTAGTTCATGAAAAGTTGACGTTTTGGAGATACAAGGTTTTCGCATAGACAATTAATGATATGAAGAACTCATCCACCCAGAGACCGGTACACACAGGAAACACAAATGTACTTGTGCTGACGAGCTGGATGTCTAGGTTGTCTTCCCCAAGTGAGTTGCGAGCAGTGCAGCTGAAGACAGCATAGTCCATAACTGCGCTCACATTTACTACTCGAACTGTGCTGGTGTGGTAAGAGCCTTCCCGCACGGTTCGTTCCTCATACCTGCAGCATGCACATATGCGTGCGCACACACACACACACAGACAAAAAACACACAGAAAGAGAGATAAATCCTGAACAGGCAGACAGCAGGGATTGTGATGTCCTGCAGATTGCACTAAGTCACCCAATTTCACACATCAAAGAAGCATTAAACAGGTATTTGCATAGTGAGGAGCGAAGTATAAAACGCACTAAATCTGGATTTAGTGGTGAAATAGAAAGAAATCGCAAAAGAATACATTATACTAGGGTAAAACCTAATATAATTGTGAGGATTCATCAATATGTGACAAAATGCTGACAGTAGCACAAGTTAATAGTAAAGAGGCTGGCAAGAACAGCATTTGAAATACAATAAAGTGTACTCTCTGACCTGGGGTTTGCAAAGTCCATGCGTACACCATTTTTTTCCCAAGAGAAGTCGACACGGGGAATACCCTCTGCCTGACACACTACCTCTGCTGTAGAAGTGCCATCTCCTCTACTTGCTACCTTCCTCCACTGGGCTCCTTTCTGAAGCTCTGGTTTGACTACGTGAGACAAGATGAGCATGAAGGTTATTAATGCAGAAACCAAACACAATAAAGGAGAAAATCTACACATGTATTTAGTGACAAACAAAGATGTGAACGTTCCCACAAGTCTCCATGTATGTTTTGTTTCTCTCTGACACTGACAATAAATATTACAAACTTACATTGCACAACCAGCCGCACGTCTACAGTGGCAAGGGGTGCTATGCCATTATTGGCTGTGCACTGGTAAATACCAGCGTGAGCCCGAGTCACATTATAGATGGTCAGAAGGCCAGATTCGTCTTCCTGAGTCTCCTCTCCCAACTCCACCTCCCCTTCTCCCTGTGCAAGACAGAGTGAGAGGGAATAACTGGCAGACAGCAGCTATCCCTCACTACACACTCACCTCCTCCTGGGTGAGGGCTGGAGTTGTGCGAGAGCAAGACAGGTAGACAGTGAGGGAGAGTTGAGCAGGAAACCATCAGAGCTTGAGGTGGGGATGGAAAGGGCGTCGGGGGAACGAGCTCGGAGGACAGAGAAGGATAATGCCAAGGGTTGGAGAGCCATGGGGAAAGAGAAAATGAGGGGCTGTGCAGGTTGAAAGCGGGACACACAGTACAGCCAGGGGGTGGGTTAGACTGGAGAAGGCATCAGTGGATACAGAGACCACGCCACATTGACGAATGTGCCCTTTAGTCACGCAGCAGTAATGAAAGCTATTTTTCTGAATTTGGGCTGAGTGTGGAGCAGGAAGAGGTGGGGTGGAAGGATAGTTAGAGCCAGTGAAATATGGTGCATCCGCGCATTTAGAAAGGCCAGTGATAAACGGTAAGAACGGATAAAATAATAGAAAGCCAGATAAGGGAAATATAATCCAGGGTATGGCTGTGTTTCTGTGTATGCATGTGTGCGTGTACCCGAGCACTCACCAGAAATTTCCAAGAGAACATGTCAGGTATAATGGGGTTGGCATCTGCCACACATATCAGGTCTGCTGTTTCCCCCAGGTTCACAAACACAGGGTCCTTCTCTGCCTTGACACTGGGAGCATCTGAGAGGAAGAAAACGGGACAAGGCTGAGGCAGGACCAAAGGTTAACAGGCCAATCTGGGACAAATCGTTTGCCAACCCATTTAACAGACATGCTGCATTGCTATAATTACTCTTACACTTGTTTGCCTTTGAACGTGTTCATAACCCTGTCTTAATTGGCCTCTGAGTTTCAGATACAATGCCATTAACCTCTCTATATGTTGGAGGACTACAAATGCTTCTGCGATCAAACTCAGAATTGCACATATGACCCACAAGGCCCTCCGCTGACGGCACATCACCATATGGACTATGACAGACTGACCAATTTCCCCTCCCTTGATTCCTCTCTTCATCAAATCCTCTCTCCTTCCTCACTGCAGAGCTCCTCTTCTTATCTTTATTCTCTACCTCACAAGCTTTTTATTCTTCCCATGAGTGCCGTGTTCTAGCAAAAATAAGGCCATTAGTGCCTACTTGTCTAAACCTATGTTCACACTTGAAGAACAGCGGTGGGAAAGACTAGAGAGACACAGACCTCTGGGTTGGTGGGATCTACCCATGTTGGCCTGCTAACCAAGACCGACATTGTTAAGTGGACTACACTGCCACCCATAAAAGCTACTACAATCCTCCATACATAATGAATATCTACAACTGTCAAGCCCAGTCAGATCAGGACGGCAGAATCCATTAGGCGTCTACCATGGGCTTTGGTGAAACAGGCAGACCTACATTTTCAACACTTCCATTATTAAATCATCAGTATCGGGGCAGAGGGCCTGGAGCTCGAGGCTGGGCCTGGGGCAGCAGTGGAGCGGACAGCCTTGCATGGAGGCCTAAATAATGAGGCATGTTTGCCGGGCAGGAGCTGAAAGTCAATGTTGTTATCTGGGTGTGTCAGCAAGTGTGGATGCACTGACAGTTCTGATACTTCTGATACTAGCATCCAACTGATTCAAATCCAATGAGCAATATGGACAATTTGCAATATGCAACAATATTTCTGCTCATTCTCTGTATTTAAAGGAAGAAGGTAAATGATGTGGTTGACCCACAGGGCCCACAGGTATACCTGCAGATTTGGCACCTTAGAAACTGAAAAAAGATTGATCAATTATGAGTGGATTGCAGGAGGGTAAAACAAAATAATGATTATAAAGAAAGTATAATTTCCAGTATTGTCTCTCCAATCCTTTGCTCTCGTTTTCAGCTTCTGAACTGAGGCTTGCAGAATCAGTGGCATCTTTTTAATCATTCCTCAAAATATTTATTTTTAAAAAAGCTTTTCAGTAATGCTAGCACACTATTTTATTTCCATTTTCAAATTTGATTTGCCTGATTGCAGTCCTGAAATGTTTTAATTCTGGTTCAACCATGTAAAGCACTTTGTAACTTTGTTTTGAAAAGTGCTGAATAAATTAAGTTTATTGTCATTAATATTATTATTATTATCTTCCTCTCTTTTGCTGTTTTGTCTATTTTTCCTCAAGCAGGTGCTCTGGTGTAAGTTTAATTAATTCATAGAAACTATTGTAAATAATCAAACTTACTTTCTAAGTTAACTGAACTCTAAAGGTTACTCTAAAATGATCGAAACACATGGGAAAAGAATTACAGTTGCACATTACAGTACAGCTGTCACGTATGTCATCTTTAATATGTGCAAAGTAATCTATGTGTATTTCAAATTTTACTGGTAAAGGATTCACGGAACAGTGCCTTTATCATAAAACAGAAACCCCCTGAATAGAGCTCACTGGCAACCTGACAAAATCTGAACGTGTGTGGGTGCATGCCCCTGCTCATCTGTTCTCTGAGTGCAGGTTCTTACATTGAACGTCCAGCATGATTGAGGTTTGGTCAAAACCCTCGTCATTTGTGCACTTGACTGTGTAAAGTCCGGCATCTTTCCTCGTCACATTCTTGATCTCCAGTGAGTTGTCGTCCAGCCAGTGGTAGCGCAGATCCCCCTCTTTAGAAAACATGGAAACGCACACGCACAGACACACATGCACACATGCAAACCAATAGTAAATTAAGTATTCATTACACGCTCATCAACCGCATGTCCTCTGGCCACCGGTCTCTAAGTGACATCTAATCCTGCATTATTGATTGGCCTGGCTGGATTCCCACATCAAGCCAACAATAGGCTGCGTGAGAGACACCTTCTGTACCACAGCACTCAAAATGTAGTAATAGGTGGGTTTCCGCATTCAGGATACAGTCATTTTACGGTGGGGGCTGCATATGATCGAGCTAACAGAGTTAACAGAGAAAGAGAGTGGGTGCAGCAGGGCCCTGATGACACTGGCCTGGAGGAGAAGCCAGGTTTAGAACCGTTGTGTTGTATTCAGTGAGACAGCAATCCTCATTTAGACTGCATACATTAGAGCCATAATGAGAATCACATTTGGCAGGGTCCCATGCTGGCTAACCTGCCATGTTTTATTCAGGCCCTGAATGGCAGAGCTGAGTGCTTACTTGCTGGCTCAGCTCAACTAGGACCTGGTTTATAGAGCCATCACACAGCCCTGGATCACCTTTGACCAGCTTCTCCCTGCGGTGCAGCCAAATGCAGGAGACCTCCTCTGGGTTAGCTGAGACCAGCATTGGGATGGTTGCCATGTCATCCTCCACCACCTGGACTTGAGTTGGCTGCTGTGTGCTGAACTCTGGTGGGTCTGACACACAAACGGAACACAAATGCAGCTACAGTAAGTTGGATTTACACCATAAATATATGTGCAGAGGCACAAATACAAACTCTGCTCCACAAAATGACAAGAACCGGCAAGAGAGAACACAAAGACACAAAACATGTTAAGCATGAAAGTAGTAAGAGACACTAATGAGAGTCAAACCAGTAGAAAGTCGACATCCCACCAGTAATTCCAGATCTAACCAACTTCACATACTTAGACGACGGGGGAGTAAAGCAACGCGGGAGGGAGAGGGACAGGCATGAAAACGACGAGTGACAGTACTGTTGTCCAACTGCAGCTCTGCACAAACACACAGTGACATTCCTTCATGCTCATACACAGTACCAAGCTTTGAAGCAGTGGCTGGCTGCTGCCTGTGAAATGGCATCAAAGACAAACATGGCCACGCAGCAAAGCAAATGCGCAATTAGGACACACTGCTGCAGAGCTCAACAGACCCACAAATCACAACAAAGGTTTCCAGTAAACAAAAAAAACGCACACATACACATACTATATGCTGACATTTCTGTGCAAAAGTATCTGCACCATCATAGATCATCATTATGCATCCTTTAAGGTTTATGCAAACCACGTCTCTTGGTCATTCGCCAAGAAGAAAAAGGAAACAAACCAATAAAATAAAGAAACAAACTAACAATTAACCCTCTGCTTACAAAGCACATTGAGTTTGAAGAATGTCTTGGCCCCCTCGTCTAGTGCAGGGCTTTTGGCCTGGCAAGTGACCCTCTGGTTGTGATGCTGTGAAGTCAGATTCAGGGATAGAAAACTGTTCACTGACACACCGCTAAATTGAGCCTTCCTGGGTGGCTGCTCCACTCCCTGGAACCTAGGACACAAATAACATCCAGCAAATCCAATCACCAGGGGAGTTCAAGTTTACCAGGCAATCATGACCATTGCCACATTTAACAGGATAAACATCAGTCATTCAGACTCATTCTGACGCTGAATTAGCCAAATCATTTTTTTGCAGGAAAATGCCCCTATCAACATGTGTCATTGTCTGCTATGAGCCTTTCCACCTGCTGCCTTGCCAAACCTGAGTGAGCCCAAGCTCCAGGAGATGTTGGCCTTGGGGTTGCTGCTTCCAGACTGGCACTCCAGAGTGAGCATCTGGCCGCGACGTAGCTCCTCCTGTTTGGTTGTGATCTTCATACTGACTGCTGTAACTGGAGCACCATGACGTAAACAAGAAAACACAATCTTAACTCACTGACAATATCAAGATGAAGATCAAGAGTATAAAATGACATAGCTGATATTGTGCTTTTCTCTCAGCTGAGTTAGACTGGAGTAAAGTTTATCGATTAAAACCAACTCACAGTGAACTATGAGCTTAGCGTGGGCAGAGATGGTCTTCTTTGCCTCATTTTTGGCATCGCAGCGGTAGGTAGCCATGTTGTCACTTGCCGTCAGGACCAGGACCAGTTCTCGAGCCACACCCAGATCAAAGGACGTCTGCTTCAGTGCACTTGTCACAACCTTTCCATTCTAAAACAGGAAGGAAAGATAATGCACAGAGAAGTGTACGTATTCTGGACATACAGTATAACACACACATCCATGTACATTCCCACTAACCTTGAACCAGGTCAGAGTCCCATGGGGGTTCCCTCCAGTGGAGAAGCAGATGAGACGGACCGTGGTCCCTGAACGAAGGGGGACATCTTGAGGAGGAGTATCAAGCCATACTTTTTGAGGAGGGTCTGTTGTAAAAGGATTTTTTTCACAGTTTTACTACATTTTTAGCAGACCAGTTGTGTATTTAGAGAGCTTCACTTACCACTGAAAAGTTAGAGATAAAGAATATTTTCAATGTGAAAATCTTCCTTAAGCACAAATAAGACAGGCCTGGAAAATAGTTGCTTAATCTGTGTCAATGATTATACTATTATAGCTATGTTTGCCTTTTTGTGTTTATTGGCAGTTTGAATTACAGTTGACCCCTCCTGAACCCAGATGATTTTATTAAATTTACCAGATCAAAATTTTATTCCCCTTTTAATGCAGGTTATGTGTACTAAAAACACAACAGCTCTTAGAAACTAAACTTAAGCTCACAATAGACATTGAGTTCGGTGATTTGGGTCTTGGAGAAGTGTGTGCCCTTATTGAAAGCCTCACAGGTGAGCTTCAGCCCGTTCTCATCCCGGGAGACCCTGTGGGTCATGTTGGACATGGTTGTCATCCCACCATTGTCTCCCTGCAGACAGAAGGCACACATGACAGTTCAGTCGTGGGACAGATAGCCTTGGTCTCTGCCATTCTTAGTCTTAGGAAAGAGAGAAAAAAAATCTGAGAGAAAAACAACCCACAATGGTTTGTCTTGGTGAATACAGATGGCAAATTAGCTGCTGTAATAACTGATGTTGTGCATGGTCTGTGATAAATAAGCATATTCATCTAACTCTCCTGCCTTGCACACTGTTATAAATTGACCAAAGCGTCATTTTGCACCTGCCTGATAGCGGCCATGCCTATGCAGCACATCTGGTTATTAAAGCTATTATTGTGGTGATTACTGTAAAAGCCACAGTCAGAAAGACTAACAAAGGCCCTGGACAGGAGCGTCAGTCTTCATTAACCTCACACTGTTTCAGATGCATTAAAGCTCACACACAGCACACTGAGTGCCTTGTGTAAGATCAAATGAAAATGCTGCTGCCAGATGAATAAAGAGCTTGTTTAATAATGCTCATCTTCTGTGTCAGCTTTTATTCACTTTGATCTTATTAACATACACAAAAGAAGAGAAGAGCTGCAGAATACTCCTTTTGGAAACCGCTGCTGATTCATTTGCAAAGCTGCAGCAGGCCTATTGAGAGACTGCTCATGGTCATACCACTTTCTTTCATCTGTGAAGGTTCGCATGAGGTCAAATTTCATATTAAGGATTCTTTTAATTCATTGGGAAACATTTTAGAAGTTTTTTGTTGGTACCATTAAGACAAGCATGACTGAAGGGCAAAGCATTTGCACTTTATTGCACTTTATTTTATCTTTTTGCCTTGTGTTCACAGAAAAGAAACAAATCCTACCCTTTTTCAGTATTATAAATTTACCAGGATGACCAGCAACTCATTTCGCCCGCTGTCTCTTGCTTGTCTACCTGCTTAGATGTGTAATCTCACCTCCTCCATAGTGACAACAGAGGCGTTGAGCTCCTTATAGCCCAGCCACCAGCGAATGTGGACAGGGGGATTACTGGAGGTGGCGTAGCAGCTCAGATTCAACTCCTGACCCTCAATGGCTGTGAGTGAACCCAACAGCATCACTTCTGCAGGCTCAACTGATGTACACACACACACACAAACAGAGACAATTCAGTGAAAATATCGTCCCATGAATAGTTCATTCAACAGCTAGCTATTCTGATCACAGCGGTAGCACAACTATTTTTGGATGTGAAACATAGAGCTGTTTCAAGGGTGAGAAGGAAAATCACTTTGAGTGGCAACTTGTTTTCTCAGGAGGCTTTCAATGTGGTTTCTAAAGTGTGCTTCGTTTTAACCACAGGGGGAGACTGGGTACAATAGCTGCAGGCAAAGTGATGCAGTTGCATAAAAGCTTCGTAGGAATACAAAAGCTGGGGACTGAGCTGGCAGACATGGGGAAGGAGGGGTCATGTATGTAAATCTCATACCTATTTGTGTTTGTCCCACATGAGACACAGAATGGGGTGCATTTGAGCATGCCACACACAAAGACTGTTGAAATCACGCAGGTGCCGTGAGGTAAAAGAGGCATATTCATATTACACTGGTGAGACATATTCTGTGCCCTCCAGCCTCTGCCAATGCCTAGAGCGCATTCAGGCAGTCAGCCGCTCATTTTCAACATCCCTGAATGGATGACTGGGAGGCATGGCACCAGGGCCTGTTGGGGGCTGTGTGGGGAAAGGAGGGGCACTAGAATATCTTCAGCCACCTTTACATAGCATGAGCAAGAGATTTCTGCAACGACTGATCCTAATTCAAAGCATATTTACATAAAATAGGTGCATCAATCATGCAGCATTTAAAGCTCTGACTTACATTGTCTGGATCTGTAGTGGAAATCAGGCTATTGTTAGGCTCAATGCACCAAGGCTGCTGAATATTAATTCTGTGTTTGTTTTATTGTTGCTGAAACAAACATTTTATATTCAGATGAGAGAAAAGTATAATCTATTAACCATGGGCGTTACTGTCGCACAAAGTGTAGGCTTTACTGCCTCAGGATTGTGCATTGAAGCAATTCAGCTAAATTAGTGTATCAGCTATGAAAGAGCATGCAGTGATACTAATCTGGAGGCAGTCAGAAATATGGGCTGCAGCCATAATAACCATTAGTTTCATTAATGATATTAGCATTAGAATTTATGCTGGGACAGCAAAAGAATTGGTTTTGGAGGTAAGACTTATTATATTCCACTGCCTCATGTCCATATCCTTAATAATCCATTGCGGCAAGTCCTGCCAGGGATTTTTGTGTGTAAGTGTGTGGGTGTATGTGTATTTTCCAGCATTGTGCACTATATTAAGCATTATTTTCACTCACAGAGCACAGTAATTTTGCGGCTGACAGACAGAGGTGATGGTGACACTAGATTGACGCTTTCACAGCACAGCACTGCCTGGTTGTCCGCGGGGGTGATCTCCAGGTTGAGGATACTTCTGGTTGTCTGTGCCACGACATTCTCCTCCCAAACTGTGGACAGAACATCTCCATCCTGACGAACACAAGACAATTAAAAAAAGGCAAAATCAGGGATATGTTTGAGTAGTTTCACAGTCCCATATGGTGCACTCAGTGAAGTACAGGAGCTACTAACAACGAGATACTTACACTGCAAATTCTTTAACTTAAATAGTTCATTTTGTCAGTGTGACAGCGTGTTATAAAGCCTCCTTAACAGATGGTGCAGAAGATTTACCTTGGTCCATTGGAGACTGGCTAGGGGGTTTCCACCATGAGACACACACTCCAACACGAGCATTCTCCCCGCTTTGACTTCCTCTCTCTCCAGACCCACAATAACTGGAGGCTGAGGTGGGACTGCCAGAAAACGAGAGACAAAAATAAAAACGGACTTGACAAAGGGGAATGGCATAGAGGGCAATAGAAAACTGAAGAGGAAAAAGTGAGGGAAGAGAGGGAATGTAGTAACTCAGGGAAACAGCTGGATGGGGTGACCATCAATAGGATAACATAAAAAAGAAACTGCACTGCGATGAGAACACTCGTGGCAATTGAGTAGGGAGCATCCCTATTTGTTAAGACAGGGCCAATAAATTGGGAACATTCAACATGAATGTGGGATAAGAGGTCCAGATCTGATGAAAGCATTAAGTATTAAGGGAGCAGTGAGCTGGATCCAGTCCATAAAGCAAAATAACAGATGTTCAAACAGTAATAAGGCAACGTGAAATATGAATAAATTACAGCCTCCTTGAATAAAATATACGCAATAAATAGAGGAGGACGGGTCTTTGTTATTGCTGCAATCAGTTTCAGAGAGCAGGCTGCAGACCCTGGCCAGTGTGACAAATTGCCACCTTGCTAACAATCTGGCTGACTGAAAATGGCCACCGCGCTGGCTTTGATGGGCTGGCATGCTGAGTAAGACTGCAGCGGTGGTCCCAAGTTCTGCAACATTAGCACTTAGCACAGAGCCCATGTTGTTTAATACGGAGCAGAGAGATGGAGAGGAAGGGAGGAGTAGCGGTTATTGGTGATTGTTAAAACAGCAGCTGTGGCTTCTAATGTGGAGGAGTATAGATAGGGACAACATTTAGGTGTCTAGTCAGCCTGTGGATAATACGGCAGTCGAGCTGGAGGGGAGTGCTTGCTGCTGAAGGTGTCAGCAGCCCTGCTCCACTTTAATCAACAGCATGATTTAGGCCTGGGAGAAGGAGGTGGGTAGACTCTTAGGCCTAAACAATCAATTACTTCAACTGATCAACAGAGGAGAAAATACTAAACCTACTGTAGTAAACAGTAGCTGCGGTGCCACACTGTTTGTGCATTCACCAACAGTGACTCTCATTGTTGCCTTGCCAAATAAGAGGAAAAAAGAAACAGAGAGAGAGAGACAGCAAGTGTGTCAACTCACCTTTGTGTGCTGCAGTAACAATTTTATTATATAATGTCACGCCGTTTGTGATAATAACATGAAAGAAAAAGCAACAGAAACTGCCTCCCCTCCTGCCTCAGTGGATTCTAAATTTAATTTGAGCTGATGAGCACAAAAGTTGCTGGGTTAGTTTTGTAGGATTCATCATTATTAACTGTGGTGGCCGTAGCTTCCCATATTAGTTATTATAATACTGTTAAAAAATTCAGGACTTGAAGCCTCGCTGATATAATCCATCTTAGTGGGTCTAATAATTGGGTTATGTGTTTGGTTAATATTGAGGAAATAAGACCGAGGGTGTAAATAATTTTAGGAATACTGAATAAAATGGTAAAAATAAATAATTAAACTAATTGAAATTTATATGCAGGGTTATCTGTGGACACTGTTACATGGTTTTACAATATGAAAACAGCCTGGACCTCCTGCTTTGGTCATATCAATCTCAGCCCACCAGGGGCAAGCTTCGAGAACGGGAAGCAGTCACACTCTTGTTGTCTTGAAGTAGGTGTGAGTTTGCCTTCAGGATGAATGTTTCTCCTCGGAGCGCTAACACAGACTGAGTGCACAAGGCCGGATACCCCTGGGCCTCCCCGAGGTTGGGTTCCTGTGCAGTTGAGTGTGTTTGTACGCAAGTGTTTTTTTTTTGTTAAACAGAGGGGGTGTTGACTGTCAGTTTACAGACAGGTTGAGACACTCACAGTACACGCTCATGGTCATTGTGGTCTCCACAGGCCGGAAAAAGGCGTGGTTGTTGGCATGACATGCCAGCTGCCTCCCGTTGTCAGAGCTCACAGCGGTGACCCTTTGAGAGGTAACACAAAAATAGAAGAAATTAGAGGGATAACAGACAGCTTTTACAGAGCCATATAAAGTGTTAAAGCTTCAAACATCACATCATGGTGATGTCTGGCCAGTAGTTGAAAGACGTATTCAGATCCTTTACATACAGTCAGTAAACATACATCATTACAAGGAGAAGTCCTGCAGTCAAAATACTACTAAAGTAGAATTACAGAAGTGGTCAGTAAAATGTACTATGGAAGTATAAGTACTTATTCTGTAGTGAAATGCCTCTTGAGACTGATATATTACTAAATAATGCCTTCATTATATTGTTAATACTGATGCATCCATCTGTAAGCAGCATTTTACTGGTTAGCTGGTCATGGTGGAGCTTTGTGGTATAGTGTAGTCCAGTGGTTCCCAACCTTTGGGTTGGGCCTCCCAAAGGGTCAAAAGATAAATCTGAGGGGTCGTGAGTAAAATTAAACCATCTGAGGAAAGTCACAACCAAAATTATCTTAACACATTCAACAAACATTAAAAGTACAATATTTACTGCTGAAATGTGTTGGAGTAGAAGTATTAAGTAGCTTAACATGGAAAGTACCTTAAATTTGTACTTAGGAACAACACTTGAGTAAATGTACTTTCCACCACTGGCTCTTGCCTCTTGCGAGAGCCATGTAACAGTCAATTCAAAAATGCACTTTGTGATGTACAATCATCCACTAGCACCTGCAATGCAATGGATTTATTCTGAGCTGAGTTTACTCTTTCAGTTTATGTCTTCTGTATCAAATTACAGTACAATGTCAACCGTAACAATCACACATGGCCCACTGCTGTGTAGGCTCAGTGTGAATATGAGGAAGAAGCATCAATATTGCTTAAGACCTTGGCTGTTCTGCAATAGAGCTGAACAACGTTGCAGCTCCTCAGTACCAATGTTATCTCAGGATATGACAAGAGGTTATTATCTTTGACACAGTGGAGACAAGCAGGATTAAAGCAATCTATGGCCCTGTTTAATGTATAGGCACCTGGCGAACCGGTGAGGATCGGATCTGTCTCGCTGCTGGAATGTAATTTTGTGCATTTGACAGAAGCTAATTCAATCGCACAGTGCCAAGTAACAGTTCGCTGTGTGCAGAAATTCATTGTACTCACTAAGACAGAAGGAGAAAATAAGAGCGGGGTGAAAACAAGGGAAACAAGAAACAAAGACAGACTGGGAGAGATTGAGCAGATCGGTGAGGAGAATGAGTCTGGCAGGCGGGTGAACACATACGTTACTTCAGCATGCGTGTTCAGGAGCTTATCCTTTGAGCCAGACATGGTGAAAGACTCTGCACCTGTCAGCTTGACTCCATCTAAAAGACACAATGGGGGGAAGAAGGCACAGAAAAAGGGAGAATACTGCATGTAAACTTGTTCATGTGAGGCTGAAACATCAGTGTTATTCTCGTGTGGAATGGCACATACAGGAATATGATAAATATGTGTGTGTGGTGCAGTCACAGTTTAAAATCTCAACCTGTCTTCAAAATGAACTCAAATCAGTGCTGAGATTACAATATCACCAAATAAAAATTACACTTTGATTGAACACAATAAAAACCTACATTTCAAGAAAAAAAAAGAGAAAATATATATCTTAGACTTACAGCATAACCCTTTAGACAAATTCACACCAAGAGAAAAAACAAAAATCATCTCTCCCTCTCTGGCTCAGAAATATCCAGTATAATAGGTGTAACGAGGGAGCAAAAGGTAAAAACTGAAAATGAGAAAATTCCAGTTGTTTTTCTAAACTTGTGATACAGTTACTATACATGTAATCGTAAAGATGGTTGAAATTGGAATTTCAAATGTTCAGGCTATTTCCTCCTTTCAACTCTACTATTCGAAGACTGTGAAATAAGAAATCTTTACTGAATGTTTTTTTTTTTTTTTGTTTATATATTCAGGTTGCGACCTGCAAAGATCCCAGAATGTAGAATACCAGAAAGGCTGTAGCCCTTTGTTCTAATCTGTCAAGCTGACCATCTCTGTCACATTCAGTGCAGTTGAAAGGGTGACTCACCTTTATAAAGTGTGATTACAGCCACGGGCTTTGCGTCAGGGACAATACAGGTGACGGTGTACTCCTTCCCTGCCACCCAAGGTGTTGCCATGTCCACCTCAAAGTATGGCTTGGAAGGAGGAACTGAGGGAGAGTACAAGTTTCATATGTATTACGTCTAATATTCATCACACTAATTTTGGGTTAGTGGAAGCAGGCGCTGTCACAGACAGATATTAGCTTATGCAATGATGTGATAATAAGCACTCGTAACATTTGGGAGTGACTGGAATGTCACGCTGTCAGCTTTTGAGTGATTTACTACAGCGAGGTTTCATGTTCTGTTGAGTTAGAATACAAATTGTGGACAAGAAGAGAATACAAAGATGAAATAGTGATGAAACCGATCCAGTGCTAATCTATCATAGCAAACACCAAACACTTCTCTTCTCAGATCACCCCCAAGCTAAATATGTGCTTTCTGGACTGATCAAAGCAGTCTTCACTTCTCCACTGTTCTACTCCACAATCCTTTTATCTGACCATAAATAGGAATTCCAGAAAAAAAAAACATAGCTTTTAACACAAGGGACCGAAAATTGTTTGGCAGTAAATTGAGAAATCTGTCACCAACTAATCATCAAAGAGATTTCTGCAGATCTTTGAGACAATTTTTACCAAGACTATCAGTTAAATCATGCAGACACTACAGAAACGTGATCATTTACTGTGCCAGCTTTTAGTGAGTGGGTGAGCCCATAGAATTAGAAATTATGGGTACTGTTAAGGTAGTTTTTCTTTCATCAAAGATCAAGTGCAAAGACTGCCCAAGTTCAGAGACAGAACGAGGAGTTAGAAAGTAAGGGATGGAGAGAGGCATGAAAGACATGTATGGAGACACAGCAAGAAAAGTGAGTGGAAGGTAAGCTTCAGGGCCAGGGAGATAGCTGTTTCTGAGCTGAATTCTGAGATAAATCCACTGCTAATGTGTGGCTAAACAGGTGGACCACAAGCAACCAAACCAGCCAGCCATTCAGCTCCTCTCCCTCTCATTGGCATGTTACAATCGATCCCTGGCCACTAGGAGGAGCTGTTGCTGTGTGCAGAGTCGCCAATTGGCTCAAGTCTACTATTGAGACAGATGAGATGTGGCTGCAGCTTCAAACTGATTTAAAAGAAGCAATTGAATCTGTGTGGACTGTGATGGGTTACCCAGAGCACTGCAGAGGCGCGCGCTGCAATAATGAGATGCATTTGTTTGTTTTTCCCCCCTCTTCCCTGAGAAGATGACTGGGCCATGCATCTATTGACAGCCCCTGCACTCTCAATCTACTCAGGCCCGCACGACTCACATAGGCGCACCACTTGTTGTGCTCGAGGAGTGTCTGGCAGGCTAACAAATCCTAAAATAAGAATAATGATATGTTCGCAAATGAGGCAGGCAGGTATCTAATTTTTTTCCTCGCTCACTCATGCTGGGCCATTCCTCTTATCTCTCATTCACTCCATCATCCCTCTCCAGCAACCCTAGCCCTATCCCTCTCCCCACACTATCCTTCTTGACCACTGCAGTTAAACTGCAGAAGAGTGGGGGAAGGTGTGTTCCAGCTTGGACTGGGAATTACAGCCCGCCATCCATCACATCTGCAAACCATGTGACCCAATCAGTCCGGTCAGAATGAACTCACACACATATTATGTACAAATGTGATAGCACATGTGGACAACAACAAAACACACATTCTATTCAATTTACTAGACATGCACTCAGAGCAAAGACAGCAAACAAGCTGTTCTCTTAATTAACTCTTTGTGCCCCTTCTTTGTCTACTTGCCTGTCGGCTTTTTTATTTTTGTCTCCCTATCGCTCTCTCGTTCTCTCTGCTTTCCAGCCCTATCTCTCTTATTAAGGTACATATATGAAGACAAAAATAGATAGGCATGCAAAGACTTGCTCCCGCCGTTCATACGAGAAACAGTGAGCCGCTAAATTCGATTCATTAGACAAATACAGACGGTTTGGATGGATAAGGAAGATAAGAAGCAGATTAGCAGACACACATCAATATGCATAAGCAGCTCTTTCCACCTATCTTTCTCTTTCATTCACATACAGATGCACACACTCTCTCCTCTCCTTTGCACACAAACAGCCAAAGATAAAGTCTACAGTGCATGCACTTTGCACGCACAAACACACTGACACAGGCGAGTGAATATGCAGACGAGCTACATTCATCTCACTTCACTCTAAAAACAGGCGCCAATGTGTGCACATGTCCAACATGTGATACTGAGCTGATTCTCTGGAAAATATTGGAGAAGGCCCAGAGGATAAAACAGTCTCTAAAGAGCTTATTATGCTGATTTAAGAAAATAATGGCGAGCAGAAGATCAGACTTCTCAACACCAGACAGACACAACTCATCAGTTTTATCTCTGGAAATCAAAGATTGGCTAAAACCACACATCCACCGTCCACGCATGTGTACATGCACAAGGTTGTATTTTTTCTTTTGCACAAAAAAAACATACATATTCACTCAATCACACACACACACACACACACACACACACACACACATTGTAGGTCTCAGGTGTGTGATCTCTGGCAATGAAAGCCTCTGAAACAGTGCCCCCCCCTCCCCCACTCACTCCTTCCTGACCCACTACTACTGTCTCTCTTCCCTTCTGTTTTGGGTCAATTACATAACAGGTAAATTCCTATTTGTCCGCATCCATAACCAAGATAGTATTTCACACACATGCAAGGTCTCAACAGACTCATTGATGAATCTATTTCATTGATAGCTTCAAAAGAGAGTTAAAAGCAAAGCAGAGAAACAGAACATTTCCGTCACTTAAGTGTCTCTTATTATTTAGCTGCTAATTGGAAAGACCCTGACACTGTAACATGAGTCTGGCACTGTGATATGCACACCGTCCAACACCAGTGTATAACACACTGTCCTCTGATGGGGTTATATCTTGGGCAACTGTCAGAACTTTTCGTGAACGAAGATGAATAAAGTCACCATGTTCTACGTTGCTTGTGCCCCCATTTATAAGTTGTTCCATTATTCATAACAGGGAATCAGAAAATGAAGGCTCATTATATACTCTTCAAGTGCTAAACTCATTAGCTACCGCAAAAAACCTCACCATAGCCCTGGTTCCTAAAATGTCCTCTAACCTCCAACCAATGCTGATAATAAGCTTACACACATGGGCACACTCACTCACACATACACACACACACATATCTCTGTAAGACCCAACTATGGCAACTGAATGAGTAACACAGTCTAAAACCAGAACACATCAAATAACTGTTTTGAACATTTGCAGGAGGCATCTGTACAGGCATGCAACGGGGTGAGGGAGAGAGTTGTTCATTAATAGGATTAAATGCTAAGGCTAATGGTATAAACCGAGACACAGGATGTGTCAGGTATGTGACGGGCACAGTGCGGGGTAAGTTTTAGTAGAGGAGGGGGTTTCCGTGGAGGGGGTAGAGGTTGTTATTGTCATGGATTACTCACTGCCACTTGATCTGCCTATTGCAGTAATCCCCTATCTAAGCTCCGCAGGAAGGCAAAAACACACAGGAGTTATGTTGCACCAATGGAAATGTCTTGAAAACATCTCTTTGTAAGCCCATGGATGGGGCTTATTGACATTTTTGCCTCCATCCCCGCTATTCACTGCCTGTGGTGATCCATCTTGAATTAGCCAGTCATGATAGCACTCCCTCTGACCCAAGAATCCAATTATTTGACCAGCAATCTCTGTTTTGTTTTCACATTCCTCCCCTCTCCCCCACTGTATCTCCTCATAAAGAGTTTATAGTGTTTTGATTTGATGCAGGGCTTGATGGGATATGGCCATGGTTGACTGGCCAGGGGTGTGGGGCCTTGGGAGCTGTAGTTCAGTGATGAAGAAGTCTGTGGGGAACTCATCAGAGACTGCTCTTCAAGAGGATGCACAGTTTGTAGTCCCAGTTCGGCACTAACAGGAGATTGAATTCATCAGCTCATTATAAAGCCCCAGATTAGTCACGTATTTTGAATCAGTTGAGTTGGTGGGGTGGAACAAATGACCCTTTAGGACCAAGGCTGCAGAGTGCTTTTTAAGTCAGTTGCTTCACTCTTTGCCCTTTGCAACAGTACAGCTGCAAATGTCCATCTTAAACAGTCAACAGCTGGAGAGTGTTCCCAAGACACAGAAAAACACCAGCTGAGATGTGTGAAAAGGATTCAGATCTGCGGATGTCTGAGGAACACAGGGCAGCAGTAGGTTTCAGTCATGGTAAATACAACTACCAGCAATCCCTGATGCAACACGAACATAATTCCCACACAATTTGACCTTTTCGACAAAGCCAAAAGCAATTGTGTTGACTTTGTGCATGTGGGCGCACATGCAATAGCCTTCTCAGAGGTAATAAATGTGGGAGTCAAACCTGCTGCGGCTGCAGGTGTAGGCATGCTATAGGACATGGGACTGCTGCAGTGTAGAATAGAACGTAGCCATTCAAAGGAGACGTCTGCCTCTTCCTATCCCACACCACCCGCCATCCCTCCCACCGACCCATTGATGTCAGAAAAACCTGCTTTCTTCCCAGAGAGAAGAGTGAGGCCGCTAGAATCGCCCCGGCAACCCACCACCCCCTAACCCCCCACCCCTCTCCATGGTCACCAAAGAGAAAGCCTGAAAGCGAGGGAGAGAGGGAGAAATTGTGCAACGGAGAGAATGGGGAGGGGGGTGTAAGTAAATGAACTGCGCCCGGAGAAGAAAGGTTCTTTTAGAGTCCTTTCCTTGCCACATATGGGCTTGCTCCCACAAGCAAGAGGGAAAGGGAGAGAGAGATACCGGTTGTTATAGAGTGACAACAGGTGGTCTAATGTAGTCGCACAATTACATCTATTCGGGCCTATGTCTGTGTAGGGACTTTTCAATCACTTCTGTTATAATTTATTCCTGTGCAAGGGAGAGACATGGATCGCCCTGAGGCTGCCAGGGAATCCAGGCTCTACTGATACTTTATATTGTGCAGCTGCTGGTTAAAGTCATAGACCTACTGGAACATGCAAGGATGACATAGTGCTTGTTAAATACTGTCTGAAAAGTTTGAGCTATTTTGAATTTCTTCATAGTTCATACATGCTTGAAATATGATTTGCGCTTGACGGAGACTGCTGAGTTCTACTGTGGAAGGACACTTCAAATTTAGTCCCTAAATTCAAGTGTGCACTGCTTAATGCAACTGTCTTATGTTACGCAAATTAAAGCTCTTTATCAATAGAAATGAATATTTAACAGCTCTTTATATGCTGATTACTGGTCAAGAGGTTGCGTATGTTACTGGAGTACTGAGGATGTTCACTGTGTCTTGTTACATCGTTTTGTTACAAAAAAACTCTGTCTCCAACATTTGTTCTGTTCACAGACTACATGGTTCTACTTACTTAGCACATTGACCCAGGCTGTACTGGAAATGATTGCTTGACTGCTCTCAGACTGGCCCGCTTGACATTCATAGGAGGCATCATCTTCCAGTTGGGCTTTTTCAATCTGAAGATGATATTGCCCTGGAATGGAGAAGGAGAGATTAATTATTTTTGTGACACATTATGTTGTGATAAGGATGTGCTCACTAAATACATGTAAATAATTACAAAGAGGAGGTTTCATTTAGTTTTCTTGTTCACACCCCGCTGAATATAACCCTCACTGTTTAGAATTCTGGCATGTATATTGATAAGTACCTCCTGCAGGCCCTATTTCTTCTGTGTTGATTTCAGAGTGTCTGAATTATAGGCAATTTTCAACTTGGGAAATGGGAAAATTAACAATAAAAGCAATTTGTACAATGACAGTCTGGCATTTCAATTCAATACGGTAATATACTCTACTACTGACTTTTGGGGATTTGATTTGATTATAAATAGACTATTTTCGTATTTCTGTAAAATGGAAACATCTCACTTGCTGAGAACCTCCTGCTGCAGGCACTTCCATTGACATGCAAGTGGTTGTCTATACTCATAGCAGAGGCATTTTGTTTCAGAATGAATTTCCAGTATGGTAAATGAAATCCAATGCCAGATTCTCAACGCCGACTGAATAAACTGTCTATTAATTGATGCCAGACAGAGCCCTTCTCTCTGTGTCTCTCTTCTGATAGTCTGGCATGCCAACAGGGCTTGATTTGTTTGATGCATTGCCATAACCTGTGGGGATTAGATGATGTTCAGTGTTAGTTTTTCCAGCTCCTGATTCTCTGGCTCACAGCCTACTAACATGTGGAAAATAGTATCTTGGTCTGACAACCCAGGCCTAAAAATGCATGTGTCAAGTATGCTGGCAAGATAATTAACACCAACCAGAAGCAATTTTCACATCTAAGTTATCATTGAGTGCAGAGAGAGAGAGACATTAAAGTTATTAATCATATTCCTGTTTCCTGAAATTACTCAAATATAGTGCAATCAAGTTGCAGAGAGTGTGTATTTATGGCTGGGGAGATGGTGGATGGTTGCAACACTATTTGCTTATTTGCCCATTACTCTGTATTTATTTCAGCAAAGGCCTTCACAATTTTAGGATACAGTATATATCTACATAGTCATTATGCTTGCGGAGCATATTATAGTATATTCTCCCCTCTGCAAATCTGCATTTGTGTATTGGTCCTAAAGCTGGAAACACAAATTGTTACACATTTGGGAAATGTCAGCCCCAATTGAAAGGGAAAGGGAATGACAAAACTAACTAGTGTCAATTGTTGATCTTGACTCAGACAATCTTTTTGGATTATTCAGTCAGCCGAGTATAAGAAACATAGTTACTTGAATAGGCAGCATGTTGCAGAAACTATTCCACAATTTGAAACGTTTTACAGGACCATTCACCCTTTCACAAAGTCTTTATATAGTTGTGTGTTTAGTGGTTTTCTAATATACTGGGTACAAACTGAAACTAAATATGTCAATATAAAGAATGTACTATAAAGGCGTCATTATTTCTAAAACAAGAGTAAAAGCATTCACACAGTGTGACAGATGTGAATAAGCTGAAAGGTCTTTATCACGTCTTTTTCTGGCTCAGTTCAGTATGTAAGGGTAAATAATATTTGTACAATTTTCCAAGGCCTACAAGATTCATTAAACAACTTCATTTGCAAAGAAATTCCAGAGTCGCTGACATGCCATAAACAGCAAATTAATATTCATGTGTGACTATGGTAAACACATTTATAAATGTTTGATATTAGAATAAGAATATGATAAGAATAATATATGATAATAATTCATAATTAAATGTAGCCTGATTGACTGGCTACATGTCATGTAAGACAATTAAATCACACCTTGTGGACCAATAATTGACAATAAATTCTCACTGAATGCTTTGGTGCTTTTCAACAAGCTGTTTTATCTGATCTTGTCTTTACAATACACTTTGTTACACACAAATGCATGGAATCCTAAATCTAGGCTCATGCCCTTACACATTCACATTATTGCTTCAGCTTGTGGAAACCAAGGGGGCTACATCTACTGTAAGTACATGTTGAAATCAACTCTGGCCTCTTTGGTGAGGGTAAATGTGTGATTTCAGGCTTTTTTAAGCGTCAATAAACATCACTGATGAGAACAATCAGTGAAAACTGGTGGAGTATCGAGTGCAGTCAAGTGTCATCTTAAATGCTTTTGCTCTTTCTGTGCAGTGTAAAGTGATTGCATACATCAGCCTGCAGTCTGCAGTCTCTTTTCCTGGTAAAGTGTACCTGCGCTGATGGGTATTTTATTAATGAGTGTATGTTTGAGTGTTTGACAGCATGTGTGTGTGTTTGTTTTCTTTATGTCCATGTGTATACATTATTATTTAGTTGATGTTGATGTACCTGCTGCAATGCTTACTGTAATTTACTCAACTAATCAGCTGACAAACAATATTTCAGTGTTTTATACACTTGTTTTCATGTACACTCCGGGCATTAATAAGCATGGACAATGGTTGCATGGGCATCTATGCATCTCTCAGTGTTTTTGTGTCGCTGCCGGTCTCCCACACTGTGCAACAGTGAAGTGCGGCTTGTCTAGTTGCGGGCTGATCAGGAACAGATGCTCTTCTCTTACTAGGGATTGCCTTCTAATTGGCTATTACTTTTTATAGACTGTGGTGCAGATTCTGCAACACACTTTATTCCCTGCCACATTTCACTGATTTGCTGACACTCTGTTGCTTTTATTTCTTTTTTTTTTCTTTACATGTGAGTGACAGTGAGGGGGGATGTGTGAGAGGCTGTTGACAATCACATCACCTCCTCAGTCCCAGATGCTCACTGTATAGAGAGCTAGTGTGCCATAAGGTTCCCGTAATGTCTGTGTTGCTTTATTACAGCACTTTGAAGCCATAGCAACAACATCATCTCATTTACTTTTAGAGTAGCCAACATCAAGCTGTACTGTTGGATGCTTCCTGAGCTGAACAACATCACTCCATAATTAAAATCATATGTCACAAGAAAATAAAAGAATATAAAGGATAAATATTATACCAACAGCATATCATTGTTCCAGGTACATCATAGTTTAATTTAACCTTTCCACATTTGACATCAAGTTCAAGCCTACACAGCGGCTTAGGTCCAGCAAAGCCAAATAGGCCATAAACCTTAAACCGTGAGTATCCCTGTCTACCTCTCTTGAGGTTTCCAATCATGCTGTAGCGTGGAAAGCCTGGCAGGCTTCTCTGAAATCCCAGGAGGAGGCCGTCTTTCACCCACTGCACAGTCCCTGAGGCCCGCAGCACCTCACACCTCAACACAGCTGTGGCTCCCATCCGCACAGTGAGGTTCCTGGGCTCAGACCTGAAAGCCTGCTGGGCCTGCGTGCCTGGAGACATAAAATGGGAAGGAAGAAAGGAAATGAGGAAAGGGGTTTGGAGTGGAATTGTGGAGCAGGGAATGGATGGGGTGGTATTTAATGTAAAGAGGTGGAGAAGAACAAGGGCTAAGTATGTCTGAGGAGTGTTATGGAGGAAATAAAAAGAGGCAGAGGGAGCACGACATAAACATACACCACAGGGATGCAGTCTTGTGGTCTTTTGTCTGAGAAGGCACCCCATTGTGTCTGGCCACATTATTCATCCTGGCATATGTTTTATTGATGGGAAACTACAGTGATACGGCCATGAAAATGAGTCAATAAAGTAATTACTGTGAATTAAATCTCCCCTAGCAATGCAGATAGGGTATTGGGAGGAAGAAAAAGGCATGGGGTATCAGAGACCTCGTTCACCTGCGGTTTTTCTTCAATGTCGATGTCCCACCAGCTAATTCCTCCTGGGAAGAGTAATGATTATCACTTTAATCCCCCTTGTTTGTCATAGGTGGGGTTGGCCATCCTTCAACAAGGCTCTTAGGTGACATTCTGTGGTGCAGTGCACTTGAGTCAGGAAGGTAACCTTAACATAGACCACCCATGAGCCTCTAACACTGGGGCTACGATTATATTATTTTTATACATAGAGGTTTATGAATAAATTCAGTTCAAGTTCAAACGCAACTGCATACTCCAATTAATGCCTAATATCTAAGCATGAATCTCGTTTAAACAATGCCCCACAGAGAAGCCAGCCTGATTCTGCTAGGCTGTTTGAATCTTGACCTTCATTGAAGCAATGACCAAGTTGTTTGTGAAGTGCATGCTCTGTTGCGTCTGACAACATGAGTGAGAGGCAGAGCTCTCAGATCAAGGCTGAACCAGTCACCTCACGTCAAATATGAAGGGCAAGATTGGCCATTACAGAGGATGCATACAAACAACCAAACACAGTAGCACATTTGCATACGGTTTACATAAATGAATACTCAACAGTGATCTACTGTGGCTGTGGAAATAGTTATGCCGTATGATAGAAATACTAAATACAATATCAAAATGTAGTAATAAGACTCAGTTTTCATGTCCTGAGGTGAGTCTATGTAACTTTCGGGCAGTGGTGACCTAAAGCTTAGAGAAGCAAGCTTGTGACCGGAAGGTTCAATCCCGGGACTGACAGGCTAAATCTGAGAGGGGAAAGAGAAAAAGCATTACCACCACTGAGGTACCCTTGAGCGGGGGCCCTAAACCCCAGCTGCTACAGTGGAGCTGCTCAGTGGCCAGTAGATCAGACTGTGGTTGTACTGGACAGCTTCCAGGTGTGAATGTGTGTAACTGTGCGAATGTGATCAGGGCATTCCTGCAAAAGAGAGGCCTTCTCTTGGTGAAACTTAAATAAAGGTGAAAGAAAAGAGGTAAAACATGAAGAAACAACACAATCTTCCTCTTTAATGATAAATTCATAGGCAATAACTTGAGCTCTTACTGAGATTATTACATTCTGGAATTTTGCCTCACTTAGGTAGTAGCATAATGCTAATTATGACAAGCTTTCGATATTGCTGTATAACTAGTATTACTGAGTCTGTTAACTGATTTAAAGACTGTTTGTGCTACTGTTACTCTACAATATAATGGTTTTTAAGGTAATACCTTACCAAAAAAAAAGTGTTTATTGTGTCCTTCTTTTGGTCCCATTCCACCACTCTCTTCTCTCTTTGACCCATTGTTGATATAACAATATTAAATTAGTACAGCTTTAAGGGGAAGGGGAAAGCAGGCCTATTTTAATGATACACATGTTGACACATGTTGACGCACAGTTGTAATAATAAGTAATAATATTAATGACTGCTCAATTCCATTTCAGTGCCACAGTAAGCCATACCAGTAAGCAAGCATGCACATCACCTGGGTGTGCTGGAATTGCAACACCTAAATGAAATGCAGCCGTCATTAATTAAAGTTATTAATTACATCTGTACTTTACTGCTGTAAGCTGTCAAAGATTTCTGCTGTAAAATATTGATTTCCATTTGTTATTCAAGAGTGGATGTCTCCAGTTATATAAGTATGCTTCTCAAACCTTGTTTCTACATTCCCTTTTAACTTTTCTAGGTACAGCATGCACCTCATATACCAGTATTTTCTAAATGTTTTGATTTGTCTGTAAAGCTTCTTTTCCTGTCATTGCATTATACATGATTAATGTCATGTTGTCCACTACATTGTCAAATGACTGAGGGTTATGTTTAGTAAGCACCATGAACTAAAAGTCATTGTAGTAATCACCATGGAAACTAGTGAAGAAATACTGTGCACATAATACCCAGTAGCAGAAGTGAAATTATGTTGGCGCTATTTATTTTCTATATAGGCAACTCAATGCCATAGGTGAAAGTAAGAGGGACATACAAAGTGTATAGAACTGTCAAGGATAACATGCATAGCACTATGCAACTCACACTGGAGAGTTTTACCTTAAGCTAGACAACAACCCTAGTAGAAAAGTCAATATAGTCACATCTGCCTTACTACAGGTTGGGCAACATTAGGATTATTCATTTGCATAAAACACTAATACCCTTTGACTGAGTTCCCCTGTTACCGTGAATAAATTGGTTAACAAAATGTTTCCTTTTCATCTTAAGACTTGTTCATAGGGAAGATGGTCCCCCAACACAAAGAGAGGGAACATATGCAGCTGCAGGTTTCCTATTTGATTAAGAAATAACAAGAGAGGAAGGTAACTATAATATTAATGGACCTGTTCGCCACCTTGATTTGCTCTGATGCAACAAAAACAAGAAAAAAAGGGAAAGGAGAAACATAGACAAATGCCAGAGTAGGGCCAGTGAACCTGGTACAGTATATTAAACAAGATCTTCATTAAAATCGAGAGATAAGTATGAGTTCACGGTTAGTTAAACTGTTTTATATTTACAGTGAATTGTCATCACTGTAAAGCTGTGTGGCTTCATTTAATTAAGGATTCAATAAAGTCAGTGTTCCCACTGCTCAGCTGAATGATCTGAACATGAATGGGACTTGAAAAGGCCACAGTTACTGTAATGATAGCTGCATGGTGACATTTGATTCTCTTACCCCAGATGAGACAGAGAAAGGGTAGAGCTGAAGGAGACACAATCCATGCTGACAAGAAGTCCATTTCACCACTGACACCTGACCTTCGACAATCCTGGAACAGCCATGAAAAGAAAAGAAAAGACCTTCATGAAATAGACACAAACATAAACTCCCCTACAAGGTGAATAAAGTTGGCATATGCATTATAGAGCCATTTGTATTATGTCCAGCACTGTAGGAGCGTTTAAGAAGAAGCTATTGAATTAAAATGTTTTTTTTCATGTTTAAGTTTCTCGTTTATTTTTAAGGTTTGACTTTCTGAACCTGTGTTTTCAATACTCACCAGAACAAGATCTGTTGTGTGGGTGGATGGATGGCAAACACAGGACTTTCACTCAAGATTCACGTGAAACCTATAGTCAACGTAGCTGTGTATTGTACGCTTCGGTGTGATACATTCATATGGTTACAGACTGTAATGTTAAGGTACCATTTGCCCACTCAGAAAGATGCTCATATTTTTGTTGTTTATAGGCAGGACGACTTGTTCAGTAAATAGGTTAATACATTCAATCAATACTGGCATGGCCCTTTCAAGAAAGTCATGTCAAATTGTCTGTCAACTGTGTATTTGTATTTTGCAGGTAATTTCCCATGGGTACAGTATAAAAGCGGTATTCACTGTCAGGATCATGACATGCTCTTGTTGTGAATGGATCCCAGACACAGTTTGGAATTAAATCTGCAGGCCGTGCTATGGGTCTGTGCCCGTTGCATCCAATACTCTCCCTTATTTGACCTGGAAGAGCCCTCTGTGGATTTTAAGTCAGTTTGTAATCACTTCAATTTATCTGCTGCAGGAGTGGAACAAATAATAGTGATTTACTTAATTGAAAACTAAATATTTTCTCATCTGAATAGACTAAATGAATTGAAGGCAACAGCTCTTTGACGCATCTCCCCTCAGTCGATTAGTTGCACTCCAACAGGCTTTGATAAGAATTAACTCACACTCAATTATTTTTTTTTCGCTCTCAAAACATTTGTGTATTTCAGAGCCCCCAGTATACTCTTTGAACACACAAGGGCAATTACTTCCTTCTTCAATGAATAGAAATTATTTTCTGAGGTTAAAAGTGCCCATCTTCTCTTTATCTCTTTCTCTATTAATAACTCATGTAGGTAAACACAAACACAGTCATGATTTTCTGCCTAATGTTGGCATTTTTTCTCATGTGGTTTGGAATTTATTATCCATTTTCAAGTAAGAAGTACTGGGTTTCTTTCATTTGTCTACACTACAATGAAAAAAAAGCCAGAATTGAATCCCTACCTTTGCGATTTAGAGCTCAAACAGAAGGTATTCCCTGAGAGGAAGAGGTTTGGCCAGCATAGAAAAGGTTGTTGCTCGCCTCATAAGTCTCCATTTTCACTGGGAAAACAGCCTGCCTGACCTCCCCACATTCCCATTACCTAGCCAAACAACCGCCTTATTTGTGTTACAAATACAGCCAGTCCCAAGAATGTTGATTTGCTGATACATGTTTATTTTGTTTGTATGAGATATCTGGAATGACGCTTGTGGAATAACAGTTGCTTAAAATATAATATTAGATAAAAACTATACTAAATGGCAATTTAATTTGTCTTCAAATACAGAAAAGACCCATATTTTACTACAGCAGCACGTATTGCCACAGGTTCTTCTGACCTTGTTCTTCACCAGCTTCTTACAAATGCAAATTAGAAAGTTTGATTTGAAATTTGATTCGCTCTCAGAGACAAGGCTGTCACTCTCCCTGCAAGGGCATTAGAGGCAGCTGAACCATTCAGCGTGACCCCGACAGGTAGATTTTTAATGGCGTCTTTCATAACATCATCAAACGACTCAATACACTCAATCCTAGACCAATTTAACGTGAAACCCCATGAAATCAGTCAATGTGCAGAAAATGAAGTTTCAACCTCCGTGCAGCCAACCAATTCAGATGTGGTCCTACATCTTAATACCAGCCTAACTTCTTACCAATCTCACCAGTTGCCCGTGGGGTCCAATTACTGTAGCTTATAGAAGCTCCATTGTGAGCCATTACTGCTTTAACACTGAACTGCTGATAGAGAAGGTTTCTAAAAAGATGCAGATTAGATTATCAACAGAATCTAATCGCATCCGTATCACTGATTGTGCATTAAAACATGATTAAGATCCGGCTGGATGGGCTAAACACTGACAGAACAGACGTTAGGCTAAATCATACAGTAACAGCTTGGTCCAGCAGTTCAGCAGCTTGACAACGTACATGTCCAGCACAAAATACAAGGCACTCAAAGTAACCCAAGTTCAGTGTTTGTGCACTTCGACTCTGCTCCTTTCAGCTCAAAGTGTTCAAGTTTATTGGATTACTCCGACTTTGCTACACACACTAACACACCTGCTCTCCTCAGGAAGAAGTTGAGAGACAGAGAGGCAAAACCTTCTTTCAACCTCCACCATCTCAAGCACATCTGCCTGCCTAGGGTGCACAGAGAGAAAGAGTGTGAGGCAGGCAGACAGACACACAGAGAGGGGGGTACCTCCTTCTTAAAAAAAAAAAAAAGCCTGGAATCTTTGAATAGGTGTGTGGATTTGCATGAGAGAAAGAGAGCTGTGCTTACCTGTTGAGTGACGCCAAGGCTCAGGAGCGTCTTTTTGTCTTCCTGATCTACAGATGGCTCTGTGAACACCAGTGAGCAACGGAGATGTTAAAGAATGCCAATGGGACTCCCCCTTCTTTCACTCCTTAGTCTAAGACAGAAGCAAACAGATAAAGAGAGGGGGAGAGGCAGCAGTGAAGACTGAAGAGCGAAGGAAGGTGTGTATATAAAAAGTGTTGGTGGCTATGGTTACAAGGGGTCACCTGCACAGAAAAATAAATGTCAAAAACACAATAACAATGTCATGGCTGCCCCAATGATTCAGTGAATACTTTTATACTCTTAAGGCTAGACAGTAACAAAATGCCAATTTAAAATGTTCTTGGACCTCTTGTTTCAGCAGGACTGAATAAATAAACTATAAAAGCTTAATAAAGTGTGAGTCAGTAATAAGAGCAGAGGAACATGCATGCAGCTTCTTTCTATACTGCCTTTCTGGTATTCAGTATTCATTGATCCCATTATTTAGAGTTTCATTGTGCTGGGATGGAAGGAGCAGCGCAGCCCTCGAAGATACAGATGCAACATGGACGTCTTCACAGCTGCTAGTTTGTAACATTTACGCTCATACATAATGAATGGAATAGAGAGCATCCACATAACTGTATTTCCTATACTGAATACTCCTGGGGTGATCTGCTCCGCTGCCGAGATGGAGACAAAGACAGGCCAAAGAATTCACTTTCAACAGTGGAATGTTTGATTTATTTTTCCCCTGAATATTAACCCCCCCCCTTTTTTTTGTCAATTATATACTTCCAACTGAATGGTGGCTGGAGAATACCACCATTTGCTCAGTGGAACATACTGAAAGCTCTTCTAGCAAGACAACTTAAAGGTCATGTTTATTTTCCATGTGCATGTATTTTTCATTTGATCTGCTGATAGTCCACACTTGTGCTGTGGCTCTGTGTTGACTATATGTACAAGCTATTTGCTCAGTATAAACACAAAAGCTGGTATTGTGCTGCATCTGTTGTTCTGTGGGTCAGCCATGCAACAATGATAGATCGACAACTGTCTTTGAGAATAGTGCTAAGAAACTCCCACATTGTGCAGCAGGCAATAAAGAAAGAATGATAATGACGCAAGCCCTTAGAGTGGCACAAATTCAAGGACTGTAACCCAATGATGTGCCAGTGTCCGGTATTGTTGTGTGTGTTGTGTGCGTATGTCTTTGTGTATGTGTTTAGGTGGTGTGAGTGGGTGTGTGTGGCCCAGATGTTACCAGCTGGGTTGTGTGGTCGGCCCCACAGACAGTCATTAAGCCCAGCAGCCCAGGGCTGGAAGGTTAATTCCCCCGCCTGGAGGGGTATGTAGGTGGGAGGCAGGAGGAAGGAGGGGAGAGGGGAGATAGGAGGAAGGCAGCGCGGGGGGGGGGGGTGGGGGGGCAATGGGAGGCGAGGGGACTGTGAAGCTCAGCACTCAGTTCATACAAACAGCACTGTCAGCAAGAGTGGAGCCGCTCCACTGCCAGACGAAGGAAGAGGAGGGAGAGAGAGCTGGAGCCTGACAGAGGGGTAGTGAGGGAGGGAGGGAGATGGACAGAGGACCTGAAGATGAATGGCGAGGGGAGAAATGCAGGGAAGAGGAGGGAAATACAGTAAGAGGGTAAAAAGAATTCATGTCAGGAGGTTGGACAGGCAGAGGGTGAGATGAAGGGGACACGAACGGGTAAGGTAATGGAGCGAGAGAAACGGATGGAGGAAGGAGACAGAAAGATACTGTAAAATGGGCTGTGGAGTGATGAATAGAAGACGGGGAGGATCAGGGGAAGGGGGGAGATGGGAGGAAGGAAGGCTGACATGAAGAGTTGTTTTGAAAACCAACAGGAAGTCTACTGACTCAGACCAGTGCAGCAGGGAAAGCAAGGAGGAAGATTAATCAGAGAAAGCAATAAGCACAACGGTGGAAAGCAACACAATATGTGGAAGATAGGGTCATGTCCAGGAGATTGATTCAAAAAAATGGAGTAGGCGTGAGAGTGCATGGGATATTTTTGTGTGTGTTTGAGTTGCTGTGCATGCCTGTGGGTGTGTACAGTATTTGTGTGGAAGGTTAATTACAGAATGAATATGACAGTCACTAGCAAACGGTTTGGACAGGCAGAGATCTTCAACACCCAATGTGCAATCCTCACCAAGAGGAGGATTTAACTAGTTCAGTACCCACAGTTCTTAGGAGGTGGTTAATTTAATGAAAAGGAGCCTTAGCAACCCTTCAAGACTTCTGAGGGCTCTGACAATGGCCTGCAAAATTGTCTTTGTGCATTGAGCTGGAGCGTATTACATCCACACTATGAGCCTTTGCATTAACTACAGCCATCTGACCTGATGATCTGATTGGAGCCCTGGCTTCTGTTGCCTGCCACAGTACAGCTGCCATATCAGTGATGCTTCTGTGTTC